GAAGGCAACCCCACTTCAAATTTTATGAAGTATTCAATTATTGTTTTTTTGTTTTGGCTTTTGGGACACACTTGGCAGTGCTCAGGGCTTGCTCCTGGCTCTGTATTCAGGGATTATTCCTGACGGTGCACAGAAAACCATATGGAGTTGCTGGGATATAAACTGGGTCGGCTGCAAGCTCCTTAACGCCCATTGTACTATCTCTCCGGACCCTTAAAATTTAATTCTTTAAACCACTCCCAATGTGTGGTATGAGGTACGGTTCTCATCTAGTTTTTAATTTCCTAAATGGGAAATCAACCATTTCACATAATTTATTCAATAAACTTATCTTATTATGCTTTAACAAAAGTTTACCCCCCACCCCCCATGTAAATGCTTAAATTTTCATCTATCACCTCACATTTGGAGAGTCTTTAAAATAGGGGCTTGTCATTTCCTAAAGAAGAGATAGGCAGGTCATCAGCTAATCAGGAGGGGATCTCGATTAGGCTTTGTTTAATCTCTGCTGAGTTGCCTCAAGGGGTTCAGCTCCTCACTCTTTCCCACTTCCTTTGAGGGCACTTCATCTGATTCTGCTGACAAAAGCAGAAAATGTGCAGGTAGCTGTCAACGCGCGCTGGCATTGTAATAACCTGTTTATGATGCTTATCTTGCCCACCATGTTTCTCAGTTTTGGACAGAACAATTCTTTACTGCATGAAAAGCACTTTAAAGCACTTTTCTTTAGTGCTTCACAGGCATGAAATGCAGTATGTTTTGACATCCCCTTCTTGACAACAGTTAAAAAGAACTTCGTATGTTTCAAGCATACCAGGACTTCGCCGTAGCGGGAAGGCAGGGTGAGGGGGAGAAAAACCGGGACAGAACCAAAAGTGAGAGAATATCACCAGAAGGCACCTTTCCAACAATAAAATCTCGATATGCAAACCCAGTCCATCTTACCGGTCTCACAAAGCTTTGCGAAGTTCACTTGGCAGGAGCTGGTCCTTTGCTGATTCCCCACTCCGGGACATTGTCTTTCTATCCCCTTCCTTCCTCCCTCCCGCCATCAATCCAGCCATCTGTCCCTCTGCTTCAGAAGTATTGTGCCCCATTACAGTGTCCTCTTTCTTCTGAGAATATGACTCTGCGCTTTGTGTCTCAAGAAGAATCTCACATCTCATCTACCTTATATCTCCCAGCCGGTTTTGCCCAAAGCCTGGATTCCTGCTGAATGTTAATGGACTGCGGGCTCTGAATCCTGACAGTTTTTATATACCTTCCAGCTCTTTATTCAAAGACAGTGGAAAATTGTTTTTCCTCAAGCAATGCTATTCTTGGGCTGGGGCTGGGGCTCAGTGACAGAGCACAGGCCTCGGATGGAAGAGGCGGGGACTCCGGTCCATGGCCTCAAAACGGTGCTCTTTTGAGTTTTCTAGTAGTGACTTTATTCTAAAAACAATGATGTGGACCTTAGGGACAGTCTAGTGGATAAGGCACTTGCCTTGCACACTACTGACCCGGATATGATTCCTTGCCACCCTGCATTCCTGTGAGCCAGGAGTGATCCCTGAGCACAGAAGCAGGAGTAAGTCCTGAGCGCTGTTAGGTGTGGCCCCAAACCCAAACCTCCCCCCTAGAGTCATGCATAACCCCACCACCTTTTCAGAATGAGAAAAATTAAGACGTGACAATGTCTTTCTCTGCTATTTTAAACCTGTTGCTAGAGAATAGGACTCCCCATAATTTGTTCTTACCCTCTAGTCTTAAAAAAAAAAAAAAGTTTACGTGAATCAGTCTACAGCTCTGCCTCCACATCGATGTATAATGATCAAATGAGTACTCACACTAAGGGGTACAATGTGAACTGGACATCGATCTTGGCCTCTGAAGGTCTGCGTGGGGAAGGAGCGAGCATGGGGCATGGAGCAGTGAGCATGGCACCCACACTGGACAGGGCAGAGAAGGGCCCGACGGGGCTCAGCCTGGTTCTTTTCTGCTTGGGCTGGGCTGGGGGAGGCAGAGTGGTCTTGGTCAGTGATAGGTGCTGGCGTCCCCAACAGGGAAAGCGGGAGGGGTGGTGTCTCCCACTCTCCCCCAAGAAGTCCCACTGGTCAGAGGGCAGCTTGTGGGGGCTGAAGCGATAGCACACAGGTAGGGCATATGCCTTGTACTTGGCCAACCTGGGTTCGATTCCCAGCATCCCATATGGTCCTCTGAGCACCTCCAGGAGTAATTCCTGAGTGCAAAGCCAGGAGTAACCCTGTGTAGTGTCGGGTGTGATCCAAAAAGCAAAAAAAAAAAAAAAAAAAAAAAAAAAAATGGCGGCAGCCTGTAAGCAAGAGGGGTGGCAAGGGCAAGGGCACTGCTTGGCACCGAGTCGGCAGGTGGGCAGGAAGCAGGGACAGGGGTGCCGAGAACGGAGGCAAGATCCTGGCCGGGATGTTGGAAAACCCCATTCGCCCCTGGGTGCCAGCCCCACGATAAAGGGGATCTGAGTCACCGTGGAGGCCTGGAATAACCGGGGTGCTTATGCATCCACCCACCTCACTTCCTTTCCAGTCACTGGGCTGTCCTCGAATTCTCCACCCTTCGCCTCCCATTTCAAACCAGGGTGTGGGGTGTGTGTTTGTGTGTTTATGACTACACAGTTGGCTCCAAGTAAGAATATTAGCTAAAAACACGGGAAACTGTGACTGTTTAACCTGGAAAAAACCGCTTTTTTTCATGTGATTCAACACAAAAGGATAAACTCAAAAACTGAGGGAGAAATGCTTCTTGCATGACTGTGGTTGGGATTCCCGCCCGCGACCCCAGCTAAGAGACTTGACGCTGACAGATTCTTAGAGCAGTTGCTCAGGAGGCAGAGGAAAGGCAGGCAGGGCACGCTGTGGATTGGGTGATGCTCTGCTGAGTTCTTAGCCACGTACACAGCCACGTACACGTCTGGTCCTGCTACACCGGCCCCAGACAGGAGTTGCTTTAGGCACGGTCACTCAGAGGCTGAAGACTTGGCTGAGCTCAGAAAACAACTAGGATGACCCTTCCGGAGGACTCAGGGAGGAAGCTGGTCATCTTTAGGAGGCCATGCAGGAGCGGAGTCTGCTCCAGCTTCTCTCTGGCCACTTCCACTAGGTCTGTCCATTTTTCTGTCACCCAAAGGCCTGGTGTCATGAATTCTCACCCCCCAGGTGAGTCACCTGTGGGTTGGGTTAATCACTAGCTACCTGGGTGGCTAGAGATGGCGCCACAGATTTGAGGACCAGCTGCATAATTTTCAGGGCCCAGGCCAGAAAGAAAAAGTGTCAGAAGCTAAATAACAAGACCCCACAGTGCAGAGCCCCGTGACTGTATGGGCCAAACGCCCAGAAACCTGTCCTGGGCCGGAGGCACTAGCCGGGACCATCCCAAGCCATTAACTGGGAAACTCTCCCCATTCCCACTGCCCCCCAGACCCTCCTGTTGCCTACACCACCCCCACCCCGGCCCCGTCAGCCCTTAGCCCCGATACTTCCTATCACAACTGCTAACTGCAAGGAACTAGGAAGTAACTTCACCTGCAAGTAAAATCTGGTCAGCACCAGGAAGGAAACTTTGGAGTCCAACGGCCCATTCCCAAGATGATCCCTGAATGATCCAAGCGATCTCATCCGAGGAGCGTCCCTAGTGCTTCAGGGTAGAGCGTTGGGACCACAGGAGGGCAAGATGCCACATTCTGACTACCTTTTCCTGAAAGTGCCCCAGATCTGAGCCGCTTTCACTTCCTGTTCTCACCTGCAGACCCCCACAATGTGCAGGCTAAGAATTCACTAGGTGAGCCACCCAGTCCACATGTGGCTGGCCAGGTTTGAAGGGATTCTCCCAGAAAACTGAGAGATTCAGTTAGGAGAATCACTTTCAAACAAAACACCGTATTTATTTATCCATGTGAGTTTTCAGGATTTACTCAAGGTGGCTCCAGTTTTCTCAAAGGTGCCTGGTGCCCCCTGCTGGGGAAATAGGGGTACTGACACTAAGAGGCCCACTTCAGAAGTAACCACATATGAAAATACACCCTCGGAATTTCTAACCCAGTGACAACACTATGACTCATGGTGGTAAAATTATGAGTTATATATATATTAACTTGGTAATGGAATGAATTTTTTAAAATGTTTCATGACCACTAGGTTCCCACTAAAATTTATCTTTTCAGTTCTTGATCTCAACTACAGAGACAAAATAAACATTCCGAAGTTCTTAATGTTTGTTGGAATTTCTTCCCATTTTAGAACAGGGCAGTCACAGAAGGCATCGTGGGGGAGGGTCTACAGTACTGGAAGTACTACCTCTCTGCTTTAGATGAGCTTGGAAAATTTCTATTTTTTTTGCTCTACTTTTCCTCTCCTAAAGACCAAATGAAAAGACCCAGCAGAAAAGAATTAGAAGGGAAATTTCAATCATCTGGTATTGTATTTCCGGTTTCTCAACAAGGGAATCAAAGGCATAAAAGCCAATGTGTCTTGGCACAAAGTTATAATCTGGGCAGAGGATGAGAGCATCTGGTAGAGGCGAATATTCTGGAGACGGAGATAAATGTCTAGGTTTCGCCTGGTATAAATTCTTATACAAGCGCATGGCTGTGGACCCCATGGCATCTCAGTTACAGGTTACGGACCTTGAGGAAGTAAGAAATCCTATTACTGGATAAAGCTAATGGTGCATCTAGCCCAAGACCTTTTCCAAGTCACCTCTGTAGGAAGAACAGAGGTCACTGTCATAGTTTTCATATGTAAACGTAGTGAAGCCTGAACACGCCACAGGGAATGTGAGGAATCCCTGTGTCAGGAAGAGGTGAGTGGAATGTACAATCTGTCCACAGGCTTCACACACGTCTCCTCCTGAGGCACACGGGGGAGTGATTCTGCTCCTGTCAACTTCCTCCTTCTTTCCTATTTCCCCTCTCACATCTTCAGGCACCTGTGTCAGAGGACACAGATAAGTAGTCTGAAGTGTTAAACACCGACAATAAGACAAAATCAGAGTTAAAGGCAAACATTTAATCAACTGCTGTTCAAACACGGGCTAGTGAATGAAGAACTTGAGGTTTAAAGAGCAAACTATTCTGCATTCCTGAGAAATCTCAACCCGTCTCTCATGAGCAGTGTACCTTCTTGAGTGCTGCTCTAGCACCAGAAGATCTGAATTAGGAGACAAAACGGAAACCTTTTTGTACCCATGTATTTCTGAAAGATGACCAGTGGAGGAGGGGAAGTCCAGCTGTTAGTTGCCCAGGGGGGGAACATTCTCATGGAGGTACTGTAAAGCTAGGTCTGTCCACTTCATTTCTTGTTCTTTAACCGACTCCGTGGTGCCCCCGTTGTCCTGTTCAGGTTCGGGAAGCTCATTCTGAAAAAGGTAAAGTGGACATTCACTATGACAGCATACTCGGCTGTGACAGCCCCTGACGGCCTAGAAGCAGGCTTCGGGATGAAGAGGGGTGTGTGTGGGGGGAGGGGTGTGGGAAAAGAGGATGGGAGGGCTCAGGTGTCCACAAGTCCGAGTCCAGCAGGGGAAGGCATGAGGACTCTAACACAAGTGCAGGAGGCTGGGCAGTGGAGGGCCAGAAGAGAAGCTTCTGGAATTCCTGGGGAGCCACGCCCAGCACTCGACCACTGCTGGGTGACTTGGGCACGGTACTCAAACCCCTAGTCTTTGCTTCCTCTCTGGCAAACAGGAGCAGTAAGCAGCCCTCACGTCCCAGGACTAGTCAGGTCAGCTCCTCACACAGCACACAGCACGGGCAGGCAGCTGGCGAACAGCTCTGCAGTCTCACTCTGTGGCAGTGATGGGGATTACAATATGCACAGATCCGACTTAGACTTATTCCAAACAGTGGCTAGGAACCAGTGCTAATGACCCAGTGCTCTACATTTGGAGCCTGCTTAAGCGGAAAACCGTACTTTGTGGCCTATTTCTTAAACACAAGGAACATCATGAAACTACCTGTATGTCTACAACTACATTAGACTGGAGGGAGGTTCAGTGAGGGAAACTGAAAATGTAACTCACTGGATGCGTCTGCCCCCTTGGAACAGAGCAGGGCCACATATGACAAGACTGATCATGGGAAGCCAGAGGGTAACACTTGGGAAATCTGCAATAGCTTTGGCCTTTTTTCCCAACTTACTGAGACTAAATTCACATCATAACAAAACAATGTGTTAAGTTGGCTGCCTGCAGGGCAAGTGCCCGACCCACTATACTATCTCTCTGACCCTGGTGAAAATTTTTGAGAGTCTTTTTTATACTTCAAGACTTACCAGTACTCTGCTTTGTACCAGTTTATCAATACCAACATATTCTTTTAAGTTATTTAAATTTGTACTTTTTCAAAGGGTGAACACTATCCAGACTTAGAATTTTCTACTAGATTCTAATCTGTAGTACATGGCACAGTACATGTAGTAACGTGAATAGAACCATGGCCAATACTGTAATTCACTCACAATACCTACAGATATATCTTGCTCTATTCTAAAATATAAAATGAGGTTCAAACATACACGCTGCAAGTGTATCATTTATTATAAAGAGATTATATCTTCAAAGAGAAAGTTCAGTTCCAATAATTACTCATAGTTGATATTAGTAAGTTACTTAAACCATTGGCTTGATTTCCTCCCATTTGTGGTATGGTTTCTATCATATGACTTTGGTTTTGTCACTTCTGTCAGGGGAAGCTAGCACATAATTGCTGACGTGTCCAGAACACAGAGTATGACAGACACAATCATTATGGCTGCTGCAAAAATGGCCAGGTTCTTTGCAGTTAGATTCAGACTGGCCATGAGACCTGTCCCGGCCAACAGCAAGCCAAGCAGCCGAACATTTCGTCTCTGCTACTCCTGCAGCCCTGAGATGTCTGTGCAAAGATGCCTGGGCTGTCTGCTGGACAATGTGACTGTCGCCTAGTTATCTCCTCATCCTAGCTCAGCCTGCTGACTGACTCCTAGATATGGGAAAGTGTCCTGAATTAGCCAGCTTCGAGCAGGTCGGCGGAAAGGGGGCCATGTGCAAACAAGTCCAGCAGGCCCTGCCCAAGCTGAGGACCACTGGATGGGTTTTGAGGAAGATCAAAAGCTGAGCTCCAAAGTTACGGAGGGAGTTTTTAAGCCACCAAATTCGGGGATGGTGTTACGTAGCATCCCAAAAACCAGCCACACCATCTGTCACAAAGATCATGGATCAGTGGCAGGGTCAGGCTGCAACCTGGAGTCAGCACGAAAAGTTCCCTTGCCCTCCCACCTTACCACACACATAGTACCAAAGTCCTGCCATAAATATATCCAGAGTTTGCCAACCACCCCCTCCATGTCTTGCCCTTGCTTAGACCACTGAAATGGCCTCTGAATCCTCTGCAATTAATTTGAGTTGCGGGGAAGCGCCACAACCAGCAATGCTCAGCGCTTACTCCTGACTCCGTGCTTAGGGATCACTCCCGGAGGGGCTCGGGGAACAAACGAGGTGCTGCGGGTATCAAACCCAGACCAGCTGTGTGAAGGCAAGCGACTGCCCTGGCCCTTAGTTGTCATTCTTACGCTTTCTCATTTACCTATTCTTAATTTCAATGCAACCGTGACTCATCATTTGGAATGCACAGCTTTATTAATACTGAACATATGACCTTATTAAGTTTTTGGTTCACTCCTGGGGATGCTCAGTGGACTTAAATGGTGCCAGAGATTGAACCTGGGGCTCCAGCCTCTGAGCTATCTCCAGGACCCATTTATCTTATTCTTAAATGGGAATTTAGGTGAACTACATTATAGATTTTCTGTAAACAGCAGCAATCTACCTTAACTGTCTTTCATTAAATAAGTTTTTCTTAGGAGACTGGCATGCTTTAAAGAAAACAGTCCCTGGACACTGTTCTTCTTGTTCTTTGTTCTGCTTCTATAAATAACTTCAGGTGTTTTTTTTCTTTTTTAAAATAAATTAATTTTAGCTTTCTGGGTCATACCTGGCAATGCTCAGGGGTTATTCCTGGCTCTGCACTCAGTTATTACTCCTTGTGATGCTGGAGACCATATGGGATGCCGGGGATTGAACCTGTGTCGGCTGCATGCAAGGCAAACATCATACTTGCTGTGCTATTGCTCTGGGCCCATAAATTGGTTTTTGGATAAACATTTATAAAAGAAAACCTTATTGCGGAGGCCTAACAAACTTCTTGCAGGGCACTGTCCCAGAGAAACTATTCCAGGGTACTCAAGAATATTCTGGGAGCAAACTGGTCTAAAGGAAAGCCAGGTGTCTTCCAAATGTTTTCTAGGGAACCTACTTCCAAGAATTTTCTAACGATATCAGCAACAAGACAAAGATAAAGAAAGTTGATATACTACTGCTTTTAGTCTCTTCCCAACTGGTGCACAAACTCTTATCACCTCGTTTTCTGGCTTTGGAATGTGAACCCAACATAATGTGGCTCAGAAAATCTTGGGTTCTGGATCTGGAATGCTCCTAACTGGGCCAATCATGCCAACTCGCCGAACCATGGTTCTCCTCAAACAATAACATTGATCTAGATGTTCTTCAAAAGTTTCAAGTTAAGTTTTGCAAAGTTTTGCTTCCCTGTTCTGTCGCTGATGTGCCATTCATGCCCTACCTGTGTACCGAAGTTTGCCAGGTGATGTGCTGGGCATAAACCGTAACGTACCAGTGGTATTGCGACATCCTCATAAGGCAGCTTGTCTTCTCGCCAAGCATCGTCGATCAAATCCAAGATTCTTCCATCTCTCTGTACCTCACTGTCCATTCTCTGGCAGCTTTGGTGTCAATCTGTAAGCCAAATAGCTTATATTTTAAACCTGAAGATGGAGGAAATGGTATTATCTCGGACCGGGACTTCTAGGTGCTCAAGCCTTCTGGTGTAACATCACTCTGGGTAAGTCAACTCATCTGTCTCTGCAGGCCCTGTGACAACTTGAATATCCCCGTTCCCGTCCCCTGACCCCAAGATGACAGAAGCCTTGCTGTGTATACTGTACCCAGCAAAGTTGATAGACTAACTGGCTCGGCAGTGTCATACTGACAAGAGTCCTATGTGAGTTCAAAGTGTGTGTGTATTCCATCCCCTGGCTAGCCAATGATGACAAATGAATGAAGAAACGGGAACAAAGGAATGGGGCCACAGGCTATTTGGTAATCAATGGCCATTTTTCATTCTATCAAAGCATTAGTTGTGTAGAAATTGAGACCGGTGGGGGTACACAGAGGTGAGGTTTAAGATTAGCATAACAGTAAGCAGATATAAAGCCCCTCCCTCAGGGGAAGTTTTCTAGGAGACTAACTCAAGTACAAGATCTCATCTGGGGGTTCAGCACTCTAGATTACTAGGAGATCTGCTCCACAGCGGGATTCCATCTAAGGGCAGATTGCTTTCTCCTTTCCTTAGCTAGTAATCCACTTAAACAATCGTGTTAAATTTATTTCTTACTAATATTTCTACTCATTTTGTATGAAAACAGTTAAGAGATATATTAAGCTTAAAGGGTGGCTCTTCTGGGGACATCTCGCTATATCCCACTCTACAGTCCTCCAGGCAATGCTTCCTGACATGTCACCTGGCTCACAGTTGTGTCAATACTACTCAGCACTTTGGGTGCCATCAGCAGGTCAACCTGTACCCTCAGGGTGGGTACATCAGCAGCCTGATGATGTCTTCAGGCTTCCTGATCCCCCAAATTGCGGCTGTGCTTCTGGCTGGACCTCAGCAACTCAGGACTAAGTTTCTGAGAAATTAAATGGCTAAAAGTTAGGTAGGTGGAAGCCACACCCACAAACCACCTCTGGCTCAGCTATATAAGCTCATTTACCAGCCTCGCTTCAGAGATCCATAAATAAATCTTGAAAGAGATCAAAACCCGCAGTTAATTTTGGACCTGCGCAAGGCTAAACAGACCAGGGTAGGTCGGGGGGTGGGGGATCAGCCTGGTGCCCGAACAAGCAGAGACCCTGGAAGCCGCTTGCTCCCACAATCCAAAATTGCCACCATCCCCCCGACTCCACCATCTCAGGACGAATCTCACCAAGATATAATCTGCTGAATCTTCTGGTATGTGGGTTTTGTGACTGAAATCTCCAAGTTGGGATGGCCTACTTCCCCCCACTTCCCAGTACTCCTGGAAACACCAGTAGTCACCCCCATGAGCCAACTCCAACGCCACCATATAAGCTCTTTCACCAGCCTTTCCTTGCTTCAGAGACCCATAAATAAATCTTGAGAGAGACCAAAAGGCGCAGTTAATCTCAGACCTGTGCATTGCTGAACAGACCAGGGTACATCGGAGAGGTGCCTGCCCAAGTAGAACTTTAGGCAGCTGCTTGCTTCCGCAATCCCAAATCACCTCCACACCCCCTGCCAGACTCCATCATCTCTGGACCAACCTCACAGAGATACGATCTGCATTTGGGTATACGGGTTTTGTGACTGAAATCTCGAGATCAGGACGGGCTACCCTCTCCCCTCCTCCCAGCATTTCCAGAAGCCTCGGCAGTCAGATCCACCCCCCCAAAGCTGCCACCCAGTTAAAAAGCTACTGCAGCCTTACCATCTTGATAAAAATACTGAATGCCCTGAACAAGCACGATGACCTCTTAGTTCCTGTGCTGCAAAATATAATGCACAAAAGGAGAGAGAGAAAGAAGTGTCTGCCACAGAGGCAGGCTTTGTGTTAGAGGATGCTGGGAGGGAAACAGGCAGGAGATGGTGGTGGTGGGAAATGTACACTGGTGGAGGGAAAGGTGTTGAATCATTGTATGACTGAAACCCAATCATGAATAGCTTTGCAATGATCTATCTCATGGATAATCAATTAAAAATAATAATAAAAAAATACTACTCAGCACACCTTTGCCCAATCTGGCCTGTGTCTCCTCACCTGTCACATTTGCTAGCCTTTGTATTTAAACGCCTTTTTCTCCAGCACTAATTCCTGCTGTGTTACACATCCCAGTGGACCTCAGACTGAGGGGCCAGCATCTAACTCCAAGGCCAGGTGCTAACATACCAACCACTCTTTGGGGGCGCATGAAATACCAAAGACAGATGATGTCCCAACAAATCTTTTTTTTTTTCGATTTTAAAATTTTAAATTATTGTGCAGCTCCAGAGCCTGGAAGACTTTTTAACAGCCCCTATTCTCTCCAAACACCTAGCTGGGGTCACCAGCAGATGACCCTTCCCACGGCACGCGACACCCTTCGCCCTTCCGTGGCCGCGATTTCTCGCGCGGAGGGGGAGCGTTTCTCCACCTCTGTGCTTGGGGCTCTTCAAGCCTGCAGGATCAAAGTAGGGAGGCCTTGGCCCTCGCTTGAAAAGACCCTCGCGGGCCACCACCGTCCGCACAGGTGTCCGGCGCCCCGCCGCCGCCGCGACTTCCGGCGCGACCTAGCGTCATGCAGGGGGGAGGTCCAGGGCTTAGTGAGGACCCGGGACTCGGACCTGAGAATGCGAAGTCCGACGCTCAACGACACGCTCCTTCCCGCCCCTTAAGGACCGAGGGAGGAGCGCGGGAAACCCTTACCGGCACCCGGCCCAGCGCGGGATCCGCTTCCTCAAGGCCACGCCCGCCACACCACGTGACAGCGCCCTCCGCGCTATTGTGGCCAACACCCCTCACGCGTCACCACGCCTTCCTCCGCATGTTAATACGCCCTCCGCACGCCGCGGCCACGCCCCTGAACCACGTGACCTGACTCTCAGCGTTGTATGGTCAGTGTGTGACCACGTGACGCGCCCTTCACGCGTCACCACGCCCTCCTCAGCATGTGACCGCGCCCACCGCGCGTCGTAGCCACGCCCCGGCACATGTGACCCCACTCTCTGCATTAGTGACCCCCCCCCACTGTATAGCCACGCCCCCCACGCGTCACCACGCCCGCCTCGGCATGTGACCGCGCCCACCGCGCGTCGTAGCCACGCCCCGGCACATGTGATCCCACTCTCTGCATTAGTGAGTGACCCCCCCCCCACTGTATAGCCTCGCCCCCCACGCGTCACCACGCCCGCCTCGGCATGTCGCCACGCCCTCCCACCGTCACCGAGCCGGTTGCCAGTCGTGGCCACGCCCCCGACACCACGTGACCCCACACTTCGCGCTGTATGGACCCGCCCCCACACCACGTGACCCCGTGGTGCTGCACGGCCACGCCTCCACGGCACCACGCCCCCATCACGTGTCCCCTGTTCCGATTCGGGCGGGCCCACGGGCTGGCGCGGAGGGGTGGCCCGCGCGGACGTCCGGAGGCAAAGCCAGGGCCGGGGGGCGGAACCAACGTGCCGACGCCGGAGGCTGAACGTTAGGCTGGCGGGGACGCGCGCGCGTCCTGACGGGAGGTAACGGCGGGAAGGCGCGGGAGCGCGCCCGCCTAGTAACCGCATGTGCGCCCGCAGGCTGGCCCCGGGGCGCTCGAGTCCAGCCCGGGAGGTCTGCCCGGCTCCGTTGGTGCGGCCGGCTCTGAAGCCGAATGGGTCGGCGCTGGCCTCCCGAGCCGTCCGCCGGTCGTCGGGCCTCGCCGTCCTGCGGCCCCCGAGCCCCGCCTCCCGCCGCTCCCCGGGCGCGTCCCCGCCGGCCCGCGTCCGCTGCGGCCCCCGACGCCTCGCCCTGGCCGCCAGCGCGCAGCCCAGCGGCCGCCTCGGCGCTGCCCCGCGCTGCGTGCCGGCCGGCCGCGGGCCCAGCCCGGCGCGGGAGGGCGGGCGGCGGGCCGGGCGCGGGCCGGGCGCGGCCTCCCTGCGGCCCCCGCCTTCCCGCCCGAGCTGCCTCACCTGGTTAGCTGCGCGCCGGGGTCGGGCGAGGCGCGGTCCCGGGTCGGGCGAGGGGCGAGGGCCGCCGAGCGGAGCGGGGGAGCCGAGCTCGCGCAGTGGGCCGCACGCATCGGGGTGGAAGATGCCCGGCCTCGGGGGCGTGAGCCTTTAGGAACGCGTCGGTCGGGAAGCTGTTGGAAGACTGAAGTTGAAGGCCCCCCTCCCCCCCACCAAGGCTTTTCTTCTGTCCCTTGCATCATCAAAGACCAGGCTGATGGGCAGCACACACGTTTGCAAAGTCTTCCTTGAGCTTTTATAGCTAATGCTTTTGTTTCTTAAAAAAAGCCCCCTCCTCTGGGTAGGTTTCTGATGTTTATAAAATTCCCCACCTGTTCTCTTTGTTGGCTTTGTTTTTGGGCCACGCTTGGCTGTGCACAAGGTTTACTTGTGGCTCTGCTCGGGCATCACCCCTGTTGATCACACTCGGGGTGCTCCACAAGTGTGATCCTGTTGATCACAAGTGTGGGTGCTGGAGATGGAACCCAGGCTGGCCACGTGCAAAGCAAGCGCCCTACCCACAGCACTCTCCAGCCTCGCTCCCGTTGTCTTATGGGTGAGAGCAAATAATAAGGATGGTTATTTTACATTGGCATGATATTTACTAGTATTTACTATAGTCGAGGCTTAACAAGGTGGCTGCATTTTCATACTTGAAATGTGATCTTCCTTTGTGTTCTGAGCTCTTAAAATGCCCTTTGTATTATCAGGGATAAACAGTTATTTAAAAATGAGGCTGGCATTAACATGGATTAGAGGTTAGTAAATTTTCATAAAGCGCATTAAACTAGATTCAGGGCAGGGCCTACCTTGTCTTCTTGTCAACTTGAGTTGAGCATAATTTAAGGTCTGAGGACCACAAGGAACGCACTGCCCCCCAGGTCCCAGGTAGATTAAGATTTTAAAAGTTAATTTGTAATGCTTGCACATGATACACTGTTTCCATTAGTTCTGGAAGTGGCAACAGTGTCAGCAGTCCACTTAAACAGTAGCAAAACATTTTTACTTAAACACCACCGAAAGCCACAGGACAGGAATGAAAAGGACAGGAATGAAACAGGACCTTCTGTCTGTGCCTCTCCCCAGGAGCTTGCTCTGGTTGCATTTAATTGACAAACCTTTTATTTATTTAAATTGGGGGGTGGGGCAGTTGGGAGGCAGTGATTCTTTGAGATAGATATCCGGAACAGGCATTGCTGGCTCTGAAGAATAAATGTGTATTTATCAGTTGCTAGTTATTGCCAATGTTTCTTCAGTGGCTATGCCATTTTACATGTGAGTTCCCCCCATCCCCCATAGTCGTGTCATCAGAATATATTGTCAGACTCATTTTTGGATTATATAATACAGAAGACAGTAATGTAATGTAACTTTGCATTTCTCTTACTCTGAGCAAGGTTGACAAATCTCCTAATATTTAAGTTCATTTACGTTTCTTATCCTGTCAAGATATTTGTTCATATTTCCTGCCCTTTTTTAAAAATTAATTTTCTTCCCCTTCATTTTGTTTGTTTTGTTTGGGGCCACATCCAGCGATGCTCAGGGCTTCCTCCTGGCTCCAGCTCTGCATTCAGGAATTACCCACTTTGGGGTGGGGGGCACACCCAGCAATGCTCAGGGGTTACTCCTGGCTCTGTACTCAAGATTAACTCCTGGTGGTGCTCAGGGGACCTTATGGGATGCCAGGGATTGAACCCAGGCCAGCTACTTGCAAAGCAAACACCTTATCCACTGCATTATTGCTCTGGCTCCACAGTCCCCTTGATTTTTGGAATTCTATATGTATTTGAATAGTTGACATTTTGTGATGAACTCCCAAATTCTACTGTAAGACCTTTGTCTTTTTACTAAAAGCTCTCCCATGGGAAAAAGTACCTTTTTAATTACTGCTTCCCCGTATTTGGATTTTTAAGCCAAAGAAAGGACAGCGTTTTAAAATTAAGTTGTTGGGTTTTTTGTTTTGATTTTTTTCTTTTCTTTTTTTGACTTCTGAAGTGGTTCTCCTGAGGGATTGTGCCTGGTAGTGCTTGGGTTGTGTTGCCAGGGATGAACCTGTCAACTACATGTAAGGCAAGTGCTGTCTCCTCGGCTCTGTTCCCGATTTTCCTTGTTTCGTGTACTTGGTGAAAAGAAAGACAAAAAATCAAAACCACACCTTTCTTCCACAGGAGGGCTTAAAATAGTTTCTGTTTGTTGATGTCTTGGCCTAACTGCAGATACAACAAAGATTATATCAGCTATAGTGCTGCACAGTTTCTGTTTAACCATATTAGCATTTTATGTTGGTGCCAAAGAATATCAGGGTTTCAAACAGTGATTACTTATATTTAATATTGCAAGCAAGGACTAATTTTGTATAATTATTACATAGTACTGTAGCACTGTCCTTCCGTTGTTCATCGATTTGCTTGAGTGGGCACCAGTAATGTCTCCATTGTGTGACTTGTTACTGTTTTTGGCATACCGAATATGCCATGGGGAGCTTGCCAGGCTCTGCCGTGCAGGCTAGAAAAGAAAAAAACAAAATGACTGTGCAAGTGTTTGCTTGAGATTGGTAGGGACATTAATAGTGTTGTAGCTAAGAAACTCAGAAAAAGAGGAAACCTGTCTGCTACTTAACCTGATCCTAAGGAACTGGATCTGAGGTGATGGTATTTGGCTATGGCTCACGCAGATGTTGAAGGTATTTCTAAGCACATTCCACGTTAGTAAGATTTTTTCACATAGAATGTTTCTTACCCCCACTCCCACCGTTTTAATGTAGAGATCTCCTAATTTTACACCATTGTTCTGATATCTGAAATGCCCATTTCTCATTGTGCTGCTGCCATCTAGTGGTGATGGTGGCAATGCCATACTTCTGTTTGTATTTTTTCCCATCTTTAGACTTGGATTTCCCTATTAAACAAAAAGATGTAATAATGTATATTAATATTTGGTGTATTATAACATTATTAAACTATACAATATTTAAATAGTGCACATGGACTAAACCTGAGGAATTCTACTGAATTCTGGGACTACAATTCTAGGTTTGAATTCTAGGACTATAGTTTGTAGCTTTTTGAATTCTTGAGACTGTTTTCTCAGAGTGGAAGTGCCTGTGTCTTGGAGATAGCTTAGAGTGATAGAGCACAATACTTTGATTGTGGGAGCCCAGAGTTCAGTTCCTGGCACTGTGTGGTTCCCTGAACAAACTAGTGAGTCTGGATGTGCTGCCTCTCAAAAAAAGTAATACTCTTTTATGAGTGTTGTGAAACTGAATTAGATAATATGTGAGGCAGTTAAGATATAAGGCAATAATAAGATAATATGTAATATACTGTCTTATAAGGCAGTGATAACGTATAAGGCTGAACATTCAATGACATTTTAGCATTTATTATAAATATTGCTAATGTATTAAGTGATACCCAGAAAGTAAATTAATGTATTGCATAATAGTGAATGTATTACTAATATATATTATCATGATAATGTTTAAGAATAATTGACTTAGTGAAGTCCAGTTTTAGAAACAGGAGAGGTGACTCAAATGGCTAGGGGACTTGGGGCCTTCCCAGGTTCAGTCAGTACATGGTCCCCTGAGCACTGCTGGATGTGACCCTGAGCCCTAAATAAAGTAACTTTACAGTGGGTAATTTTTTTTTTTTGGCTTTTTTGGGTCATACCCGGCAATGCACAGGGATTACTCCTGGCTCATGCACTCAGAAATTATTCCTGGCAGTGCTCAGGAGACCATATGAGATGCTGGGAATCAAACCCTGGTCGGCCATATGCAAGACAAATGCCTTACCCACTGTGCTGTCTCTCCAGCCTCGCAGTGGTAATTTTTAATAACTGTCCTTGGTACTTAATATCCATGCAGAGTTGTGTTTTGTAACAGGACATCTACAATGGACATTTAATTTTTTTTTTAATTAGTGAAACAACATGAGGTACAGTTGTAGACTTATAAACTTTCATGCTTAGGTTTCAGTTCTACAATGATCGAGTACCCATCCCTCCACCAGTGCCCATTTTCCACCACCAATAATCCCAGTAGCCCTCCCACTCCACCCCCCATCCCCGCCCCCCCACCCCGCCTCTGTGGCAGGGCATTCAGTGGACATTTAGTTTGCTGTAAGAATGCATGGAAATCTGGGGCTGTTGTGATAGAATAGTGGGCAGGCTGCTTGTCTTGCATGCACCCAATATCGTTCCCCGAGCCTTCCAGGAGCGATCCATGAACATTGCCAGGTGTTGCCCAGAACTAAAGGAGAATCCATCAAAAAACTGGAAGAAGCAATGGAGATGATATTTTGTACCCCTTATTTTACACGTACAAAGACTGATATTCAGGGACATGGAGCTAGTCAGTTGCGGAGATTAATAGATCCTGCATCTGTATCTCCGTAGTAACTTGAGGACTACCTCTCAGTTCCCGAAGGGGAGGTCAAAATGTGGAATATGGGTTGTGTTGTGTTGTGGTTGGTAGAAAGTAGATTTTAACATTAAAATTTTTCTTTAGGTCTTCATTGTGTCTGATAGTGTGGTATAAAGGATAAGCTAAATGAAAAATCCTTTCTGTCAGATCTGCATGAAAAGTTATTTGAATATACCTGTAACTTGAGAAATATCAACATCATGCAGGGGTTGGGCTTTCCAGTTTTCTTATACTGGTTCTCTGGAACATTCTGTGCATAGCTTTGCCATTGTGTTTGTCATATTGGGGAAACAATTTTAGTTGTTCATTCTAAGTCTTGCTCAACTATCAATTCTTTGAAAGAGGACATGTCTTAAAAAATAAATAAAAGGAACAATTACAAACAATAAAAAAAAAGAAAAGGGACATGTCTTTTTATCATGATATGTTTAGTGATTGTTACAACCTGGAATTCTTTGTTGACTAAAAGGCATTCCCTTCTCAGAACAATGTATTTTCATACAAAGCATAGGGCTGTTTAAAGACACTAATTCAGGCTTGAGTCTGAGAAAAATCACTTTTCTGGAGTGAGAAGTGATTTGACATTGATTAGCTTTATGAAGATTTGTCATAAGAGGTTGAAAAACTTGGGCCAGATGGAGAGTATGGCAGATAAGGCACTTGCCTTGCACACATCTGACCTGGGTTCAATTCCCAGCTCCCCAGATTGGTCCCTTGAGCCCACCAGGAGTCAGCCCTGAACACAGTTGACTGTGGCTCAGAGAGCGAGAGAGAAAGAGAGAGAGAGGAGTGAGAGAGAAAAGAGAGAAAGAAAAAAAAGAAAAACCTCTAGCAGATATTTTTTCATTAGCACTTGTGAATTTTAGGGTGGTCTTTTGTCTGGGTTTTCTGTTTTTCACAGCGTGTCATTCCCTCTGTAGTCACAGATCACAGATCATCCTGTTATTCGTCAATTGCCTCGAGCAGGCCCCAGTAACGTCTCCTTCATCCTAGCCCTGAGATTATATTCAAGGCTCTCTAGGAGAATGAGACCATCATTGTTACTGGTATTTGGCATATTGGGTACGCCACGGGGAGTTTGCCAGACTCTGCCGTGTGGGCGGCTACATTCGGTAGTATGACAGTTTTTTCCATCTCCCCCCTTTCACTGCTAGACTCTTCTCTATAGCTTTCCAGCTATGGCCAGTGCATATAGGACTGTAGCACTGTCCTCCCGTTGTTTGCGATTTGCTTGAGCGGGCACCAGTAACGTCTCCATTGTGAGACTTTCTGTTACTGTGTTTGGCATATTGAATACGCCACGGGTAGTTTGCCAGGTTTTGTCATGCAGGCGAGATACTCTCAGTAGCTTGCCAAGCTCTCGAGAGGGGTGGAGGTATTGAACCCCGGTCGGCCGCATGCTAGGCAAATGCCCTACCTACCCGCTGCGCCATCACTCCCAGGCCAGCGCACATAGGAGATAGTTAATGGAGATGGGAATTAAGCCGTAATTGTCTACCATGTGCCGTGTTTAGCTCTACTAAACCCTGGAGCTGGAGATGAGCAAAATTGGTTTTCTGTCCTAGAAGGATGAAGACAGAAAAAGCGTGCTCCGTAAAGTAATTTCTAGTGTGCGCTGCTCCTTTGAAGAGACCTGGGATTAAGATTAAAAAGTTGCTGAGGAGAGAAGGGCCCATGTAGCCTGCGTGCCCGGGAGTGGAGTAGTATTCTAAAAGCTTTGCCTGCCTGTCATCTGAGGGATGAGTCTCTGATGAACCACAGAGTTCACATTCAGGACATTTAACACTTTACGCATCTCTTACAGCTGTGCTTTTCCTCTAATTTGTATGACTCCGTAGTTCTTCCTGTCATGTCATAAGGGGGTTTCTGCCAGTGCCTGTACCTCCTGTATTCATCCATCCTTACCTTTGAAATACAACAATGAGATTTTTGATTTCAGTCACACGGGAGAATGGCGACGGAAGTGAGACAATTACACGGTTCTGTCTTTAAGACAGCAGTGTACGTGGTCCCTCTTGAAGTGATAGTCCTTGACTGATTTTCCTGTACCCTCACAAGACTTTTCTCCGTGTGGTTTGTGCTTTCTCTCTTATGGGAGGTGAGCACACCTGGTGTGTCTCTAGGACTCCTCCCACTGGGAGGCTTTGTGATGCTGAGGGCTGAACTTTGAGCTCCAAATACCAAGCCTATGCTCCACCCCTTAGTCACCTCCCTGGTTCCTGCATCATTCACATTATTAAGTTTACTAGCTGGTATGTTTGAACCTAAAATATGAATTTTCTTTTTTTTCTTTTTTCCTAGTTGCCAAAACAAAGGAGATTTGGTGATGGAGGCTTTGTTGGAAGGAATACAAAATCGGGGACATGATGGGTAAGTTTCTCAGTAAAATTGTGAGTAGTTAGCCTGCTTACTAGGCTTCTTATTTTGTCCACCAGAGAATGTGACAGAAATTTGCCTGGATTCTTCCTGAAAGCTTCTGTCAAATATTATAAAAGGGATGTTGGTTGTAGAGATCTAATTCATCGTTCAGACTTAACAACAGTCTTGTGATCAACAGATGACTTAGGCTTTAGGTTGGCCCATGGAGGAAAACAAAGTATTATGTGGAATAAATAATCTTCTTTGCTTCTGATTATTCACATTCTCTAGGATCGTACCTATTTTAAGATTATGTTTGTTTTGTTTGTTTGTTTAAGATTATGTTTGTTTTAGTTTTTTGCGTGAAAGGTGAAAAGCCATTTGGACATGTTCTGTATCTCAAGGGTTGTTTATATTTTTAGGGGCTTTTTGACATCCTGTGAAGCAGAACTACAGGAGCTCATGAAACAAATTGACATAATGGTGGCTCATAAAAAGTCTGAATGGGAGGGACAGACACATGCGCTTGAAACTTGCTTGAACATCCGTGAACAGGAAGTTAAGACTCTGAGGGGTCAGTTAGAGATGAAGCAGAAAGAGGTAAAGCTGTTGATTGACTCCTCTTTTTGATTTTACAATGCCTTTACATCTGCTTTTTACACTAGATATATTAAGTATATGTGTAAAGCATTTCTAAAGTTTCTGTTTTGTATTAATTTTGATAGTTTCTTTTACAAGGAAAATTGTGACATAAGAACATTAATGTATCAAGAATCATGATTTTTTTTTAAAATTTGTCTTTGAGGATCATGTTATCTTGATCACATATGTCATGTACATGCCTTCTTATAAAGAGTGAAGGAAGCAGGGCCAAGCTGGTAGGAAATGATCAGCCCTTTGAATTGCACTGAGTTCAAACTTCCACAAAACAGAAATGGCTTTGTAGGCCCACAGAAGTGCTCAGGAAAGGACAGTCTTCAGGAGAATCTTGCAATGAGCCCTGCTCGTGTGACCCCAGGAAGGGGGTGTTCTGGGGCAGGCAAGAAAGGAGAAATGTAGGAACAGATTTTAGCCAGGGAAGTGGTGGGCTGAAAAGCTCACTGGTAGCTTTCTGCATGTCTACCCTTACAAAACCTGAGCAGCATGTGGGACTGGTCTGGAAGAGTCTCAGGCCATCAATTGAAGGGGATGCACAGCCGCAGCCTTGGTCAGTGAGACAACTCATCAACATTGCCTGCTCCAGGAGAAGAGAAGGGTCGTACCCTCCGCCACACTGCATCTGAGTTCAGAGGTTCTTTCAGAGTCAGAAGAGGCTGGCTCCGAGAAAAAGGAAAGGCTGGTTCTGTTGTGCTTGGCTGTCCACACATAAGGACCAAGGCGAGGGGCGCAGGATGAGGCACTGAGAGATAAGAACACAGAGGGGGAGCAGCACTGGGCTGAACTGAAGAGATGTGGCAGTGTTTGGAAGTGACACAAACTCAGCTCCAAAAGCTCTCTGTGGAATTGACAGATGTGAGCCGTAGATTACCAATCAAGCCTGCGCATAAGCCGGCCTGACCCTCATCCTTAACCTCCAGTAGAGAAGACAAGAAGTGGAGGATCCCGCCCAAAATAATGGAACAAAAACCTGAAATGGTTCCTGAGCACTTAAGAGCTATGACAATTTCAAAGTGACTGAGGAAAGCAGTAGAAGAGATGCCTAGTGAAAGGGGAAGGTATGAGGTAGAGTCTGAAAAACTGCCCTTAGAAATGATCGAAATAAAGAGCAGAGTGGTTTTTTTTTTTTTTTTTAAGTAATTGGAGGACTCAGGGTCAGGGGAATGAGATCCATTTTTTTTTTTACTGGATTTGGCATATCAAATATCAAATAGACCACGGATAGCTTGCCAGGCTCTGCCGTGTGGGTGGGATATTTAAGATACCCTGAAAAAATTAAATGAATGTAAATAAAAAGTCAAAAATCAGATGGGCTGGACACGTAATGAGGGTTACAGACAACCGCTGGACTAGAACCATTACTGACTGGATTCCACGGGACGTCAAAAGATCGCGTGGATGCCCACCTACAAGATGGTCAGACTTCTTCATTAAGACCCTGACTGATCGGTTTGAGGCTCTGCATGTTCTTAGAATGAACAGATGCCCTTGGGCTCCGCTAGCACGCGACAGGGATGAATGGAGACGTTACTAGCACCCCGCTTGAGTAAATCGATGAATAACGGGGGATCAGGTGATCAATTGGAAGATTCAAGGGCAAAGAGGCAAAAGACAACAGGTTGGGAGGCATGAGGATGGGCTGTACGAAACTGCGTTTGGAGATGAGGGTTAGGGTGTATGTCTTCATATGCCTGACCTAGTCTTGATCCCCAGCACCACAGAGTCTCCTGTGCAATGCTGGCTATAGCCCTGGAGGTTATCAGCTCATTCAATGTGACCCTGGAACCTTTGAACAGTGCTGGGATGGCACTGGTGGTCCTCAGCAGCACAGGGCCTGAATAGTACTGCATCCTCAGGTTCTAGCACCGAAGTGCCAGAAAGGTTAGTCAGGTATCTTTGGGAGTCAGCCCTGGACCTCCTGAGTATGGCCTGGGAGCTCCACACCACTACTATCCCCTCCCCCTCAAATAAATAAGCATTGAAGGACAACCAAATAAAAGAGATTTTTATATATTTATTTATTTATTTTTTAAATTTATTTATTGAATCACCGTGAGAAAAGTTACAAAGCTTTCAGGTTTAAGTCTTGGTCATACAATGATCAAACACCCATCCCTTCACTAGTGCACATTTTCCACCACCAAGAACCCCAATATACCCCCATCCCACCTCTTCTGATGCCTGTGAGGCAGATGATTTTCACCTAACTCTCTTTCTACTTTGATTACATTCATTATTTCGACAAAAGATGCACCATTATTATTTGGAATTTTCCCCCAACAATCAGACCTGCCGAAAAGGCATTGTGAAATAATTTGTTTTCTATTGCGGGTTATGAAGACCATGTGATGTTGCAGTTGCGTGAATTTGGATTTCTGATATTTTACTAATTAAGTTTGGAGGGATTTCTGCCAAAAGCATGAGATTGGTTTGTGTGCCCTGGGGCCATGGCCGTGCTGGAGAGCCGCTCGTGGGGGGCACTCTTGGCCTTGGTGGGGCAGGAAAGACGTGACAATTCCTCCCCCCATCCCATGAGGCCGCAGTTGCCCCATCACCCGTGGCTTATACCTGGCTGTCCAATAAGCTCTGACGTGGCAGCCACCGGGCTGTGGGGGGGACGGGGAGGAGGCGAGGGAAGGCGGAAGAGACAGACACCCTTTCCCTCCCCAGCGAGCCCGGCACCATAGTTCAATGCACAGTCCATTCACATTTCTGCCGAAGCTGCTGGGCTCTGAATTAGGTCCATGTGCCTCTGGGGCCATGGCCATGTTGGAGAGCCGCTCGTGGGGGACAACTCTCAGCTTTGGTGGGGCGGGAAGGATGTGCTGGTTCTGCCCCCTATCCCATGAGGCTGCAGTTACCCTAAAAGAGAATTTTTAAAACAAATAAAATAAGAGGCCAGAGAGATAGTACAGCAGGCAAGGTGATTTCCTTGTAAGCGATTGACCTGTGCCCCATATGGTCCTCTGAACACCACCAGGAGTGATCTGTGAGCACAGAGCCAATAATGAGTCCTGAGCACCACTGGCAGTGGCTCGAAAAGAAGAAGAAAATACAAAGGCTTATGGGACAATTAAAATAAAAATACAGATTATAGTAGTGCAGAGGATGAGGAAAGAAAACTGTTTGAAGAAATTGTAGCCAAAAACTTCCCCAGTCTGTGGATCAAATTGTTTACCTGGTCTCAATAAGTTTAGAGTCCCAAACAAAGTAACCCGAATTAAAAAATATTTTGTAAAAAGCAAGTTCCAAAATGAAAAAAGGACACATTTTATCATAATTAAAATGATAGTTCTTGAGATCTCTTTTTTAAATTATTAGAAAAAAATTTTTTAATCACTGTAAGATACAGTTACAAAGCTTTTCTGTTTGAGTTTCAGTCATGCAGTGATCAGACACAAGCTTCACAGACAAATATCAGCTAAAGAAGTTGATGACCCTTAATCTAGATTTTCAAGAAGCACTAGATGGTCTTTTGTAAAAGGCAAAGAAACCCATTTGGAGGTAGTAAGATAAAAAAGCTAAATAAGGTGAGGAGGAGAGGAATAATGGACTCGTACAATATACTTGAAACTCACTCACTTTGAACCTAAGAGGGGATACAGGCCCAAAACCGCAGAAGTAAACCACATGGTAATCTCAAAGCAAAGATACTTAAAAAATATAACCAAGAAAAGTGATTGGAACCTGATCACTGGAAAGCATAAAAGGTAGAAAGTATAGTATAGGAGAAGAAAAAAGCCAGCAAAGACAAACTTCATAAATCATATTTTAAAAATTACATTAAGATCAGGGAGATGGTACATGCACTTGATAAACCCAGTCCAGCATCACATGGCCTCCTGAGCATTGCCAGGTACTTAATAATATAGAGGACTGTTCACACCCTAAAGCCAAGAACTCATTTTTCTCCAGTGCACATGAGACATTCTTTCAGGACAGAGCACATGCTGGGACACAAAACATGTCCAGTAGTTCAAGCAGATGGAAATCATACCAAGGATCTTCTTATACCACAGAACTATGCAGATGGAAATAAACCATAAACCAAAATGTAACAAAAACTCAATTGGAAACTAAACACCATACATACCTGTTGCTTCTGAAGATGGAATAATGAAGAAGTAGAATTTCTGAATAGGCTGTTTATTAGCAGAGAAATTAAGGGAGTGATTGTAAGTCCCCCCATAACGGAATCCCTGATGGTTCATTAGTGAGTTTCTTTAAACCTTCAAGGAGGACCTGCTTTCTATCATCAGACTCATCCAGAAAGTCAAAGAAAAAGGAATCCTATTGAGCAGTTTCTTTTAGACCAGCATAACCCTGATGCCAAAAGCGGATAAGATATTACTTAAAATGACAAAGAGCTGTGACCTTGATGAACATAAACTGCAAAAACTGCAAAGAGATTTAACAAAATTTTAGGAAACTGAATTCAGGAATACATTAAAAAGATGGTAGACAATGATCAGTGATCGAGTGGGATTTACTCTAGAACTGTGAGGATGGTTGAATATATGCAAGTCAATGTGATAAACCACATTAATTAGGAAAGATAAAAGCCATGAGATCATATCAGTAGATGCATAGAAGCATTCAACAAGATTCAACATCTATTTATTTATTTTTTCCTTTTTTTTCCTTTTTGAGTCTCCCACCTGGCGATGCACAGGGGTTACTCCTCGCTCTGCACTCAGGAATTACTCCTGGTGGTGCTCAGGGGACCATATGGAATGCTGGGAATTGAACCCGGGTTGTCCGCCTGCAAGGCAAACGCCCTACCCATTGTGCTGTTGCTCCAGCCCCCGAACATCTATTTATGATAAAAACTCTCAACAAAGTGGGACTAAACGCTTCCAAAAAAATAAAGATTATATATTACAAATACAAAGCTAATAATATTCTCAATGCTGAAACATTGGAAGTCTTTTCTCTATGATCAGGCACAAAACAAGGATAACTGCTCTGTCCACTATAATTCAACAAAGCTTTGCAAGTCTTTGCAACAGCAATTAGGCAAGGAAAAGATAAAGGATTCAAATAGGAAAAGAAATCAAACTATTACTGTTTGGAAATGATTTGTTTTATTCTTAAAGAGTATGCAAAAAAAAAATCCCTACCCCAGTCAAACTTCTAGGAATGATAAACTTAAAATGGCAAGCTATAAAATCGGTTCGCAGAAATCTATTGCATTTTTAAGTGCAATCAATGAGGTAGAAGAGAAATAAATAAAAGATTGTGTTTTCAGTTGTGTCCCCTCCAAAATCAAGTACCTGGAAATAAACTGAGTAGGTAACTTATAAAGAAAACTATAAGTCACTTAAAAGAAATAGATGAAGATACAAGGACATGGAAATATATTTATTGTTCATAGATGGGAAGAATTAACATAGTCAAAATGACCATCTTGCTTATCACACTATACAGATTGAATAATTCACCATCAAAATTCCTATGGCATTCACTAAGGACTTGGAACAAGTACTGGTAAGGTTTATACAGAGTAATAAAACTCCTCAGATAGCCAAAGGAATTTTGAGGAAAAGGAAAATGGGAGGCATTGCCTTTCTGGCTTTATATTATACAACAAAACAATAGTAATAAAAAAAGCGTGGTGCTGGAATAAAGATAGACTAATGAAATAGCATGGAGAGGCTAGAGTTAAATCCTCAGCTTTGTGGAAGTTAATCTATGACAAAGGAGCCGAGTCCATGAAGTGGTGCAGGAAAGTCTCAACATGATGCTGGGAAAAGGTTAGCAACATACAAATAATGAATCTGGTTCCCAAAAGGACCCACTCGTGAACTCAAAATGGATGAAAGACCTTTATATTAGACCTGACACTGTAAGGTACAGAGGCAGAACTTTCCATGACTTCAGAGGATTTCAGCACATTGACTAAGAAAACAAAAAGTAATCAAATGAGATTGTAAAAAAAGCTTAAATAAAATACATCATACTAAGTAGAAGTAAATATTTGCTCACCATACAGAGCTAATTTCTAGATAAATAAACCACTCACAAAGCTCAACAACACTTATGTGGTGGCAGAGATCAAACTAGGGTTGGCCATGTGCAAGGCAAATGCTATTTGCCCGCCCAAGAAAGGTACTTTTATAAAGGTCTCCAAGTCACTTATTAGAAAATTCCTGTGTGTATGATTATGAAAATATCGAGACACTCAGAGGCTGTTTAAATTTATTTCTGAGACTTAGTTTTGATGTCAAGGACATCATTGCCATTATTTAATACCTTAAAGAGAAATTAAAGGGATTGAATGGATAGGTTCCAGTAAAAATTTGAGGATTATGCGTTTGGCCTTGGGGCATCAAAATAAAATTTAAAATTGTAGCTGTCTGGTCAGTTTACTGCTTCATTGATTGGCTGCTGAAAGTTAATTAAGTTTAAAGTACTTTTCTAAACACTTATAATGGGAATCTAGTTTATATAGTTTGTGAAATTGTCTTGGTAATAACATATTTATAATGTACTTTGAACAGTGAATGATAAGAGAACTAGAAAATAGGGCTTTAAGGTTTTGTCATTTGTATTTGTTTGAAAGTTGCAGTCCTAGAAATAATATAGGTGTAAGTCAGTGCTGCTTAGGTGACAGATCCATGATGAATGTAAAAGCTGGATTTAAAATATAATTTTTTTTTCTTTTTGGATCACACCCAGCGATGCACAGGGGTTACTTCTGGTTCATGCACTCAGAAATTACTCCTGGCTATGTTTGGGGGACCATATTGGATGCTGGGAATCCAACCCGGCCGCATGTAAGGCAAACGCCCTACCCACTGTGCCATCACTCCAGCCCCTAAAATATAATTTTGATGAGCCGGAGAGATACACAAAGATTAAAATGCTTCTCTTGCATGTGCTGACCCTTGTTTGATTCCTGGCACCTTAGATGGTCCCTGGAGTACAGAGCCAAGAATAAGCCCTGATCATAGCCAGGTGTGACCCAAACCCATCCCCGACCAATGTGTATGTAATTCCATACATTGCATCTTCTTTACTTCATAGAAAATTTTGCTATATAAAATGCTACTGTACAGTGTATTTCATGACTTGGTTGATTTACATTCTGCCTCATGCTCCTTTTCTTGTCTTGGATTGCAGTTTGATGAGCTCTAGTCTGCCTACAGAATTTACTCAGAAGTGTATCAGTGTAAACAATTCATTTTGAAAGTGAATGTTTTATGAGTTTTCTGATTACACTGCTGGGATTGGGTTGGTTGTAAAGGGCAGTTCTGCTGCTGTTACTTTTGAAGGGGCAACAGAGTGGGAAGGTCTAGTCAGAGGAGTAGCCGATAGTAATATATCTTGTCACCTCTCTGCTTCTAGGTTGGAACGTTGAATCAGCAGATAGAAGAAAATGAAAAAAACAAGCAGGAAATGACTCTGGAATATAAGCAGGAGTTAAAGAAACTACAGGAAGAAGTGAGATTAATCTTGTTATATGTTGTATAAATCTCCTTAATCCTTGAGAGTTTTGTTAATAGGCCAGTTTCTGCTTCATAAAGAGGGCAATAAATATCCTAGGGGAGGAAGGAGGTGGAGATCTATTTTTCTTTTTTTCAATTCAGGTGAAGAATCTGTCTAAGTATGTTTTATTTATAGGACAGAAATTCTAAAATATATTTCTCAATAAGGGACCAAAAGATTAATTTTTTTGTGTAATGCTGTGAAAGTATTTATACCAAAACTTATATTTAATATTTTAATTTTGAAGATATAAAACAATAGATACAAATATTTCAAAAGTGTTTTGGGGTGATGGTGAGAGAGTACAGTGGAGCGGGCATTTACCTTGCACATGGCCAACCCGGGTTGGATGCCCCATTCCCATATGATCCCCTGAGCACTTCCAGAGGTAATTTCTGAGTGCAGAACCCCTGAGCATCGCTGGGCATGATCCCCCAAAAAGCAATAAATAAATTTTTTAAAAAGTGTTTTGGGATAAATACCAAAAAAAAAGCTTCTTTTTTATTTACTCAGTTTTATTCTACGCTTCAATTTGGGCAAAATCTGCTTTAATTTTTTTTTTTGGGGGGGGGTGGGGAGGCGGTCACACCCAGCAGTGCTCAGGGGTGGGGTTAGGGGATATATGAGATGCTAGGGGTCCAGCCAGGGTCGGCTGCGTGCAAGGCAAGTGCCCTACATGCTATACCATCGCTTGAGCCCCTGCTTTAATTTTGATTTTAATTCCTAAGTATCCCTCTTCTGCTTTCTGAATATCAGTGTTTACCAGGAAAATGTTTCAAGCAACAGAGTTGTGTTTTTGTTTTTCCCATAGTGAGGTAAGTTGTGGGCTCTTTAGAACAAGGCTATTATAATAAAATTAGGATTTTGTTTAAAACTTTCCCTTAAACTTCTAATGTTTCCCTTTTCCCCCCTCTCAATATATCTCTTCTTTGGTACTTTTTTTTTTTTGCATCCCTGGGTGGTTTGGTACTTATTTTTTTATATGTCGTTTTGAATTATTTTTCTAATGTGCAATTCTAACTTAATCTGTTATCAATAGTACTATTTAGCATTACTTTTGCTTTCAATTTGTTCCCCCATCTGTCTTTATAAATTCTTAAATTTTAACTCTAGAAATAACTGTGTCTACAGTTAGGCAAACTGAAGAGAAGTTATGAAAAACTACAGAAAAAGCATGTGAGAGATTTCCGAGGCAGCGCCAGGAATCACAGGGAAGATCGGTCTGAAATTGAGAGGTTAACTGGAAAAATAGAGGTATGTTCACAGTAATAATCTGTTCCTAGCGATTGTCAGCCTTCAGGAAGAAAATGCGATTTGTAATAGTGCTATTTCCTGAAACCAATTTTCTACCCTCTCCAGGACTGCCACTGAGCTCTTGGAGCTGTGGGAGAGTGGTCCTCTGTGTATCATCCTATCATCTGCTGCTTCCTGTGGTTGACCACTCCTAGCTATCAAGAGTTCTCAACAGGGCAGCACGACCCTTAGGGACTCTTGGAAATGTTTGGAGACGTGTTTTGGTTTTAAAATCATTGGGATTTAAAAAAATGATTGGACTTGAAACCAGCGTTTAGGGGACGGATGAGGAATTCTGGAGCTGCTCGGTTCTCTTCCACACAGGAGGGGTTTGTGTACCCCAAGTGCTAATTTTGAGAAGTGGTTCCCTATGATCACTTTTGTGGGCAGTGTCCTTAAGTATCACCTAGTGGAGTAGATAGACTCAGTAAACGTTGAAAATTCAGGACATTTTTGTACAGAATATTCTGCGTATCAGCTTGTTCATTTTATTTCCACTTAGAAGTAGTAAGCTCTTTGCCCTTCCTCTTTGATGCCTTTTTATTGTTAAGAATGAATGTTGTCAATACTGATTTTTCTGGTGGGTTCGGGGAAGAGTGAGTGCTTGCCGCTGAAAGGGGACGAGGAGCAGCACAAGGGTTCCGCCTTCGCATCTTCTGTTCTCTGTGTCACGGGTTTTCTGGAGTGGCTGAGAGTCACCCACATTCAGATTTAGGTGTGTGGCATGGGACGTGGGAACCTGTATTTTTTTTAATTCAGCTTTCTAGCTAATACTAATTTGAGAAATATTTGAAGCATCTTTGTTATCATTTTTCCTCAGAGTGACCTGTCTTCCATCAATCCCATTATATACCTGAATTTCACTGTCACTGTCCTCCCATTGTTCACCGATTTGCTCGAGTGGGCCCAGTAAGGTCTCCATCGTGAGACTTGTTGTTACTGTGTTTGGCATAGCAGATACGTCCCGGGGAGCTTGCCAGGCTTTGCTGTGTGGGCGAGATACTCTCGGTAGCTTGCTGGGCTCTCTGAGAGGGGTGGAGGAATCGAACCTTGCTCAGCCGGGCCAGCTGCGCGCGAGGCAACCGCCCTACTGTTGTGCTATCACTCCAGCCCGTACCTGAATTTAACATTTTTTAAAATTTATTCTTTTAGATCTCAATAATTGCATACATTTGAATTGCTTATCAGAGCATTTACATGTATCTTGTTTCTTTGCTACATTTCTCTTCAGTCTCTGTAGTCACACTTACCCCCACCTCATCACTCTCATGTTCTTGCTCTTCATTATACTTCTTTATGTTTCTCTCTTTTTTTGACTTTTAGTAATAAAATTTGTACTGATTTATACTACAAATGAAATTTTGTTTACAATTATGCATACATTTATTGGTTAAATTAGACATACTTATTGGTATGAATTATACACATATTCACTGGTATAATTTGGTTTATAATTAAACATTTATTAAACAAAGAAACTGAGAGCACTTTTTTCCACACACAAAAAGGACTTATGCTGTATTGTCTGTGTTTTGTTTTGTTTTGGGACTAAGCAGTCATCAGGGCTTGCTTCTGGTTCTGTGCTCAGGGATCACTCTTTATTTTTTAATTTTTATTTAAAAATTTTTATTAGTGAAACACCATGAGGTACAGTTGTAGACTTACAAATTTTTGTGCTTGGTACCCATCAAGTACCCATCCCTCCACCAGTGCCCATTCTCCACCTCCACTAATCCCAGTATCCCTCCCAGCCCCCATCGCACTCTGCCTCTGTGGCAGGGCATTCCCTTTTGTTCTCTCTCTCCTTTTGGGTGTTGTGGTTTGCAAAAGAGGCATTGAGTGGCAGTCATGTTTGGTCTATAGTCTACTTTCAGCATGTTTCTTCCATCCTGGGAGGATCCTCCCAACACCCTTTATTTGGTGCTCCCTTCTCTGTCTGAGCTGCCTTTACCGCTAGAGTGTGTGGCTGGCCTCCAAGCCATGGAGTAAACCTCCTGGTACTTATCTCGGCTATTCTTAGGTATTAGTCTCCTATTTTGTTACTTTATGTTCTCAGGGATCACTCTTGATGGTGCTTGGGGGATGTATGTGGTGTGAGGCAAGCTCTTTGCCTGCTGTATTGCCTTTCTGGCTCTGTCTGTGCATAGCTGCTTACCCAGATAGATAGATAGATAGGTAGATAACTGACATTTTCAAAATTGTAATCATTTTTCTATATCTAGGCATTTCATTCTGTGTAGTAGCTGCATTCAGAATAGTGATATAATTTATGGAAACATCTTGTTTTTGGCAATACTCGCTTTATGTCTGACTTCTGCTAATATTGTTTTGCCACCATGAATAACCTTTATTCTATAACCCAGCAATCTGCTAACAAGCGAGATGATATAGTCAGTGGGGGTGCTATTTCTGCTTTTTTCTCTTTACCCTTTTTATTGAGGTACCATGATTTACAGTACTGTTAATTATACCATTCTCTTTCTTTTTCTTTTTGGGTCACACCCAGTGATGCTCAGGGGTTACTCCTGGCTCTGCACTCAGGAATCACTACTGGCAGTGCTCGGGGGGACCTCATGGAATGCTGGGGATCGAACCCTGGTCAGCCACGTGCAAGGCAAATGCCCTACCCACTGTACTACTGCTCCAGCCCCACCATTGTCTTTTCTTCCTACTTCAAAAATCTCATCTTCAGTTTTTTTGTCATTAGCCACATTTTACCAACTCATTTATATAGACCAAGTAGTCAAGTATTCATGTTCGAATCCTCCAGGATTACAGAGAAATCACTTCCTAGTTTATTGCTATTCTCTCACATGTTATTTCTCAACATAATTCGCAAGGATTTTAGTACCTGTTTTCAACAGAATAATTTCCAACTTCTTTCAAATCTCCGAATTAGTGTCTAAAGCTGCCTTCAGTCTGGCATAACTGAAAGAAGGGTCCTGATTTTTCTCTTCGGTGTCCTCCCAGCAATACTCCTGTTTCACATAATGGCAACTTCCTTCCTTAGTTTGCTTGAACATAAAACTTTGGAGTTACCCATATTTTCTTTGCAAACCCAGCAAATGATTGTTATAGTGTAAATCAAATCATGTTCTCTCCTATACAAAAGTATTACAGTAATGGGCTGGAGAGATAGTACAAGAATTAAGGTACCTGCCTGCAAATGGCCAACCCCAGTTTGATCCCAGGCACTGCATATTGTCCCTGGAGCACACCGGGGTAATTCCTGAAACCGGCTGGGAATAAGGCCTGAGCACTGCCAGATGTGACCCCCCCAAAACCAAAAAACATTGCAGTGATATCTCTTGAAAGTCAAACTTATTTTAATAACCCACTTTGGTTAAATGGCCTTTGTCTTTTCTTTTATGCCACTCCAGATACCTTCGCCTGCTTGTTCTTCCTTAAACATACCAGTCTTCCACTCCAGCATCTTTGTGCTTGCTGTTCCCTTTGTCTAGTAAACTACAACTTCATATTCATCTCTCTGAATGTTTCTCCTCTTTTTTTTTTTTTTTTGCTTTTTTGGGGGGGTCACACCCGGCAATGCTCAGGGGTTACTCCTGGCTTTGCACTTAGGAATCACTCCTGGCGGTGCTCGGGGGACCATATGGGATGCTGGGAATCGAACCCAGGTTGGCTGTGTGCAAGGCAAACGCCCTACCTGCTGTGCTATTGCTCCAACCCCAGGATGTTTCTCCTTTTTAAAAATTTTGTCCTTAAACCTCTGAGCACTTCAAGTTTTATTTTCTGTAAAGCATGCCCTGCTATGTAATATACTACACAATAAATGTATTGGCTACTGCCCTCCAGTGTAGTGGGGCTAGGATTTCTCTTTGTTTTGGGTGTAGCTCAACACAGCATATACAGTAGAATGATCGAATGAATGAATAGTAAGAAAATTGGTTTACCTGTAACTGCCCCAAGCTGTAAGAAGCTTTAGGAGTTGAAGATCCTGTGAATGAGTGATTGAGTTTTCTTTCCCTTTCACTTGCTCCTTTTTCAGAAACACTGGGCACATTTCTTGTTTATGCAACTTGTTTGGGTTTTGTCTACTAACTTATAGTACAGATTTTTCTTGTTAGTTGAGTTTGCAGTTCTGTTAAGATTGTAGAACTTTTGAATACCAAAGGATGTTCTTGTGTCATCTGAATCTGTTTGGTAGCTGAGTGTTAGATACTAAGAAGTAATAATTGGGCTACTGAGTGATTTAGCTAAAATTTCACTCTGTCCAACTCCTGAACAGGGTTTTGAATATTAGTAATTTGGGTAGTGAGGGTTGTATGATTATCAACATACTATGAAATTTTAGTTAGCATAGGTCTTCTGGAAGAAAAAAAAATCACTAAAATGTTATAACAACCCTTAGGTGGCAGCAAATCTGTGAAAATCACCATGTGTTCAATGTTTCATGCACTTCACCATTAGGGTGTTAAATTTAGAAAGACATATCCAGGGGCACAGTATGCAAAGAATTCAATATTGTGCTGTAGTTGTGTCAGCTAAGTGAGTAACGGGGCTCCTGCTGTGGAGAAAGGTGTGTGTCCCCATGGATGCGGAGAAGAGTGAGAGGAAAGGAGCTTGGGAAGCAGCACAAGCAAGGGGAAGCACTTAGAAGTTTAAGTACTGTAATTGCCTCTTTAGGAATTCCGTCAGAAATCACTGGACTGGGAGAAGCAACGCTTGATTTATCAGCAGCAGGTATCTTCTTTGGAGGCACAAAGGAAGGCTCTGGCTGAACAATCAGAGATAATTCAGGTAGGTTAAAAGACATTCTTAAATAATGAGAAACTGAGAGGTTTGGGTTAAACTTCAGAACTACCTTAATACAGCTCCCACTTGCAGGCTCCCTCCCTCACCTGTGCTTCCTCTCCTTCCATGCGCGGGCCAATCTCAAATTTATATTCACTCTCTAATCTTGGGTTCTCCCTCTCTCTCTTCCTCTTTCCCTCCTCTTTCTTTTATTTCTGTCCCTGCCCCTTGCCTTGGCTCTCCTTCTGATTGTGTCTTGTTCTTCTTGAGATTTGGGGAAATACAGTGGACAGAATGCCTTGGCCAGACGCTTGAGCCAGTCTGCCCATCTGAACACAGACGCTGAGAGATGTGTTTGCACCGTGTCAGAGTGTGCACTGCCTCAAAGCAGGGGTGTCTGGCATCCACAGCCCTTTGGAGGGGAGAATCAATAACTTAGGCAAAAACAAAAAGCCACTTAGTCATCGATGATATTTCTTCCTAGAATATGTTTATTTGCTTGTTAAACTAAAAGCCAAGAGTATAAAGGGAAAAGAACATAGAAATGAATATCCGGGACCATCTGTTATGTGCTGGACACTGTCTCCCTGGCTCCGTGTTTCTTCCAGATGCAGTTATCTAAGGTGCAGTTATTTATTGTCTGCTTGGTATCATGAGAAATCCAATAAGTGCAGTGGTTTCCTCAGTTTTACAGTGTGAGGGAACAGACTGGATAAATTAAGATAGCTGGAGGGATTTTATATAATCTTCATTATGTGCTGCTGTATGTCTTACTAGCATACTGGCTTTGATCATCTATCTGAAATATCAGGTGACTGAATAAACTACCTAGAATGGCTATTCCCTGAATGATTCTGGCAGGAAGGGCCCACAGCAGCCTCCAGGAAAAAAAATGATTCTCTGGGCTGCAACAAGTTAGGCAGTCAGAGCAGCCAACAGAATCCAGGATATCTAGGCCAGAATTTTTGAGCTCAGTACTAAAAGTCTATACAAACATGAAGAGCTATAAGATATTGTTACATTCTAATTGTAGTCTTCAGGTTGATAAGAAAAACTGAGTCTCAGTTACTCATCTATGAAATGTGCTTGTTAGTGATTGCAGATCCTTTTTTCAAATCGCCTCCATAATTACTCTCGATTATTAAAACTTCATTGTTAGTAACAATGAGATTTTTTAATTTACTATAGTTGTTGTCTAAGGTGACAATAAGAAGCTTTAAAAAGCCAACATTTGTTTTCCCTTTGAAGGAAATTATTATTTTCTGGTGCCTTTTTTTTCAAAAATAAAAATTGCTTATATTCCTAAATATTTTAGTAAACTAAGAAAAATTAAATCTTTCTGTAATTCATTTTTAATGCTGCTGGTCATCATTTGGGAAACATGATGACGTAAGTAAATATGTGTGCCCATTACTCAGCATTCATAATTGTTCCTCTTTTGCCAACTTTTTGTCTTACTATGGCAAACAAATCTAAATTCACCATCTTAATCATGTCATAGAAAGCTAAGAACAGTAATGTTAACCACATGAATTTTTTTTTTTTTTTTTTTTTGCTTTTTGGGTCACACCTGGCGATACACAGGGGTTACTCCTGGCTCTGCACTCAGGTATTACCCCTAGTGGTGCCCAGGGGACCATATGGATGCTGGCAAGGCAAATGCCTTACCCATTGTGCTATTGCTCCAGCCCCAACCACATGAATTTTTTTAATGCAGATCTCTGTAGAGTTTTTTCAGCTTTAAAAAACTGTACCCTTGGAACAAAACCAGTCTTGTCATTCTTTCTTCTTTTTGGCTGAAGCAAAATTTATTTGGAAGAGTAAATGAGTGTTAAAGAGCAAAATGTGTTATGTTTTAATGTTAATCTAGTAATCTGTTAAAACAATGTCATTATTAGATGCAGTTAGCTATATAAGCGTAGAAAAAGGATTGTTTCAGTCAGTATAATGTAAGGTCACCTCTGGGTTTTTTGTTTGTTTTTTGGCCACATCAGTCATGCACAGAGCTTACTCCTGGCTCTTCACTCAGGAATTACTCCTGACAGTGCTCGGGGACTGGATGAATGCCAGGAATTGAACTAAGGGCAGCCATATGCAAGACAAATGCCTTCCCTTGTGTACTATCTCTCCAGCCCAGCCTTGTTTCTTTATTAATTGTCGCTATTTACCAGTCTATTTCTGAGCTCTCTATTCTGTGTCTTTGGTATGTTTGTGTGTTCTTTTGCTAAACTACACTTAACTTGATCACTGTAACTTTACATTAATTGTTGAAGTCGGGTTACATCAGCCATCCACTTTGTTCTTCTCCTTCAATATAATGTTGGCCATCCTGCATTTTTTGCCTTTGTGTACAATTGAAAATAGTTTTGTCAATATTTGTAACTCGTTGGGTTTTTTGGGGGGGTTGGGGGATTGCCTCTCAGCATTGCTCAGGGGCCCCCATACCACTCTTCACCATGTGGTTCCAACAGTGCAGTGCTGCTTGGGCCCAGTGGTGGTAAGGTCTACCACGACCAGGCCTGGTAGGACTCTCAGGCCATGCAACATTGGGAATCAAACTCAAGGCCTCATTCATATAAGATGTGCATATTCCTGCATATTCCCCTCCCTCTGTACTATCTGCCTTAACTCTTCCTGGAATTGTTTTGTTTCGTTTTGGGGTCACCCCCAGTCATGTTCAGGACTTACTCCTGGCTTTGCATTTGGCAGTCACTCCTAACAGAGCTCAGGGGACCACATACAGTTCTGGGGATCCAACCCCAATTGACCATGTGCAAGGCAAATGCTCACTGGGCTATCCTCTGATCCCCATTCCTGGATTTTTGATTAATTGTGTTGAATTGTATGTCATGTTGGGAAGAACTGACACCTTGACAGTGCTGAATTTTTTAACGAATATGGAGTGCCATGTATTTAGTTCCTTGACTTTATTCATTAGAATTTTATAGTTCTTGTATAGATTATGTTTATATATTTTGTTGGATTTATATTTAAACATTTTAATTTTTTAAAAGTTAAAGCAAATGGTGTTGTGCTTTAATTTCAAATTCCAGGTGTTCATTGTTACAGAATAATTGTGTCTCTCATAACTGTTAATGTAATTGCTTATTAATTCCAGGGATTCTTTTTGTTGCCTTTCTTAGGTTGGCTACACTGTTGTGCTATCTGTTAACAGAGACCATCTTTGTCTTCCAAATATGTATTTCCTTCTGCATTATTGCATCTAAGTAATATTGAAAAGTAATAGTGGGAGGAGATATGAAAGTAAAATTTAGTTTTTAGTCTTCCTTATTCGTCGATTATTCTTTTATCGTTCCACTTGAACCTGTTGCTGATCTCTATTGCTAGGCTCAGCTTGCCAATCGGAAACAGAAATTAGAGTCTATGGAGATGTCCAGCCAGTCAGAAATTCAGCACCTGAGCAGTAAGCTGCAGCGAGCCAACGACACTATCTGTGCCAATGAGCTGGAAATAGAGCGCCTTACCCTGAGGGTCAATGACTTGCTTGGAACCAACGTGACTATTATCCAGGAGCAGCGACTGAAAGAAGAGAAGCTCAGGGAATCGGAAAAACTGTTAGAGGTGTGTTTTAAAATTACTGTAATTTGAGAAATCTTAGCATGTGACACCAGGATGTAGCATCAGTGGCTCACACTTTGATGTCACATCAGACAGATCGTACTGCCAAATGTATAATAATTTATTAAACTTGTTTGGTAAATAGAAAAAGCTGCCATAGAGCTGAAATTAATTTATTTATTGATAATTTCAAAATTTAACTTATACATTTGTTGAAAAAAAGTGTTGAAGTCTCCAGGTAGCAAGAAACTCAAATTGCAGTGCCAGTATTGTGTCACAAGAAAATAATCTAGAACTAAGTTCCAAAGTCTCTGTTTTTTTTTCCCCACCTTGTAGCTGGTGGATCAGACATTAATAATTTTATATTGTGCTTTTTATACAACTTACAGCCAGATTCCTGACTTCCTTATCACATGAAAGAAAAAAATTTAATTACATTTGACTTTTCCCCCTTGAATATTTTGCAGGTTCTACGGGAAGAGAAGAGAGAACTGATGGCAACACTTCAGTCTCAAAGTTTCATCCATGAGGCAAGAGTGAGAAAGGAGGAATTACAAGTAAAATTAAAGGCTACTGATACTCAGCACACAGTAGAAACCATAAGGTATATTCAGTCTTTTTAGAATCTAAAAATTGTTTCAGCAAACAAAGGTGAGCTTTCAGAGATATTAAATATGTGTGTGGCATACTAATTATACAAATGCTGATGAAATATGAGGCATAGTTTAGTGAATTTTGACTATTTTTTTTTTGAAAGACTTATATTCACAAAGGGCTAGAGAGAGAGTATGGCTGGGAAGGCACTTGCCTTGCATGCAGCCAACCCAGGTTCGATGCTTGGCACTGCATAAGGTCTGCTGAGCACTGCCGACAGTGAGCCTTGATCACAGAACCAGGATTAAGCACTGACTGCTGCTGGGTGTGACCCAAAACCGAACAAAAATGATTTATATTCACAAATTACTCACATAGTTTTCACATCTTTGAAGTATCTCTTGACAATAAAGGTCTTTTTATTCTTTATAAAATTTAGACTCACAAGCCATAACAATAATTTATTTACGAATTATTTTAGAATCACAAATGACAATTGTGCATGATTAAAAGTAATTATTTTATACTTTTAGTTATATTTTTTGTTTTTACGGTCTCTAATTTATGTACTGTGATACATAAAACAATCCTTTGGCCATTATTGGGCTGAAAACTTTTTAATATCAGCTTGTATATATATACTTCATTAAGTTTCGCACTGAAAATCCAGAATTGGACTTCATCATGCATTTGTAACCTTTGTCAAGATTTATCCCACCCTTACCCTTTCTCTTCTATTAACCGCCAGTACAGTCAAGAAGTTTATTTTTGTTTTATTTAGTTCATCTGTTTGATTCCACTAAAGTATTTTGAGTCTAGGTATTAGTCCCTTTAGCCACTTGTTGGTTTGACATTAAGCATCAGTTTGAATATTGCACAGTCATCATTTTGTTTTAAGGAGCTCTACGTAGTTTAAATCTGATGCACATTTTTGTTCTTCCAGAGCTCTCCTATAGCTTTTTAGTTTTTTAACGTAAGCTTTCAAGTATGAACAAAGTGACTTTTAGTTACCTTATCTTACTTCCTTTGAAAAACACCAAATCCCAGTTGAGGAAGGTGTGAGCTGCTGCTGTCTTTGGAAGAAAATTTCTCTTGCCTCTTTATTCTTCCAGTGTTCTTTTCAAAAAGAGAAAAATGGAGGGACTCCACAGACGTCTTTACCAGAAACAGCTGGAAAATACAAAATGATTTTGCGTTGTTTTGGTTTGCAAAGATGAAAGGTTAACAGTCCTGTGTGCTTTCATAGGTCACTCGAGGAGTCTCAGACAGCAGAAAGGAAGTACTCATGTCAGGGGCATGGGGATTTAGAGAACGTGCTGTCGAAACTGGATTTCACCCACACCAGTGAAGAGCTACTGCAGGCAGAGGTGACTCGTTTAGAAACCAGGTACATAATTCTGTACACATTCAAGCAATGTTCAAGTTAGTAAACGTGATTTTATTTTGTTGGTGAAGTAGTATAATAGAATTCATGAAAATTTAAGTTTTTTTTTTTTAAATCTAACATCTATAAATGGCCTAACTTCTGAGGCCAACAAGATAGTACATCGGGTACAGTGCTTGTCTTGCACACGTGCAACCATCCTGGGTTCCACCCTGACACCCCACGTAGTCCCCTGAGCACTACTACGAATGATCCCAGAATGCAGAGCTAGGAGTAACTCCTGAGCTCCATTGGGTGTGGCATAAGAACAAAAGAAAAACAGCAAGTCAGGGATAATCTTGGCCTTTCTTTAATTAGGAAACAGTGACCTGTAGAAGCTAAGGTCACACTACATGTAAGAAACAAGATGCAAGTCTTCAGGGACCGATGAACCAAATGGAGTCCAAAATGTGGACTACTCAAAGCCAGTCAGTGGAAATACAACTCAGTTACTCCTGGCTCTGTTCAGGAATCACTCCTGGGGGCCAGATTCATATGTGATGCTGAGCCATGGTCCGTCTGTTCTCTCTCTTTTCTTTCTTTGTGTGTTTTCTTTTTTTGTTTGTTTGTTTTATTGGGTCACACCTTGCAATGCTCAGGGGTTACTCCTGGCTCTGCACTTGGGAATTATTCCTGGCGTGTTAGAGGAGATGGGGAAAACACCCTATCCACTGTACTATTGCTCCTGTACTATAGCTCTGGCCCATTTCTTTGTTTAATTGCTTCAGTGTTTATTTAGGCAGTGTGATTTACCGTGCTGTATTAACTGTAAAAAAGTAATGTTTGAGACACACAATGTCCTCAACACCATACCCCCACTGGAGGGCTAGTGTGCCTCTAGCCATGTGTCCAGGTTTCCTTCCTTACCTCCCTTAAAAGCCCAGATTTTGGGGGGAGGCGGGGCGTGGGCGTGGGGAGATACCCAGAGGTTCTCAGGAATCACTCCTAGCAGGGCTCAAGGGATTATATAAATGACAAGGTGTTGAACCCAGATAATCTGAGCAAAGCAATCATCTTGTTTGCCATCCTTTTTCTCTAGCCTTAGAACTCAGTTATGTAGACTGACTCTCGGGTTCTGTCACCATTGGCTGTTTTTTATTATTTCCCTATTATCTTTCTTACATTTCCATATGCAAGAGGCCATTCTGTATTTGTCCCTTTTCCTTTGACCTATGTAACTCAGCATGATACCCTCGGGGAGCAGCAGGATTTTATCCTTTTTTTTTTTTTTTTAAATAGCTGAGTAGTATTTTGCTATGCATAATACGCCACAGTTTCTTTATCCACTCATCTGTTCTTGGATAGGGGTTCTTTCCAGATCTAGGCTATCGTGAATAGAGCTGCAGTGAGCATTGTAGTACATGCATCTTTTTGAATTAACATTTTGGGACTTTTGTGGTAAATGCTAAAAAGTGGAATTGTTGGATCAAATATCTCATGACCCATAGCAGAGCAAGCACCCATACCAGATAGTCAAGTATTGATTTAGAAGCAAAAATATTTGTGAGACAAGACAGACATGGTGTTCCTGAGGTTCTTAAACTTGAAGTGGAATTTATTCTTAGGAATGATGACAAATTTAATATTCCTTTGAGCAGCTAGATTATTCTGGCAAGTTTGTGTAGGATGGAGTTGTAATTAAGTATGTAAAGGCTGAAATGTTGGTGGCAATTACTGTACAACTAGAGAGAACAAATTTGCTAAGTTAATTAGTCTGTAGAATTTTTTAGTTTGCTAAATTTTAAGCAGAAGCAAAGGTCTCTAAAGGTTTCTGTTGGATTTAGCTGCTTCTAGTGATAAGGGAGTGGAAAGTAAGTTTTATTATTTGGGAAGAAGTGATAAATTAAGATTTTTCTTGGACATCAAGAAGGTAAACTAGATAACTCGGTTTATCAGTTTATCTGGGGGGGTTTGTTTAAATATGTTATTTTATTTTTGTACAGCTTGGAATCTGTAAGTTCCACATGTAAACAATTAAGCCAAGAACTAATGATAAAATACGAAGAATTGAAGAAGATGGAAATATATAACAATGAATACAGGGCAGAAATAAAGAAGGTATATATCTGGGATCACAAAGTTATATTAGTTTATGGGTTGAGGTGTGGGTTGGAAGGTTATACAAGGATAATTTTGAAAGAAGGAAAAAGATAGTCCAGAGGGCCACTTGATAATCTGGAATGTGCTTAGGCAAATTTTGACTCATCAGGGATCTGAAATACTTTCCATATATTGCAAACTTGCTGCCTTTGAATTCTTGAACTTACTTTAATCATGTTTTGATGAAAAATCTCTGAAAGCTATAATTTTTTTTTATAAACTATTTGAGCTAGCATTACCTAGTGGTGACTGTGGTTCTTTTGTTCTGGGTGTAGTAGACACCTTTGATCATTAAGATTTTTGCAGGGCCCGTACTATCTCAAGTGGTTGACTCATATTTTGTTTTACTTCTTTGGGATTACTTCCAGCCTTTTTTTCCTCTTGTCTTTTGGTGGACCAGGGAACCAAATAGGCACTGTGATTTCTTTTCTTTTCTTTCTTTCTTTTTTTTCTTTTTTTTTTTTTTTTAAGATTTGTAGTTACTGAAAAAGAATGGAAGTTCCTGGAACTGTACCCTAACTATTGTGTTCTGTACTTGGGTACTGGTTCTCAGCCTCTCTGAGTAAGTCGTCTATGCCTGTTTTGAGATCTAATACATGACCTTCAGAACAGATAACACAATTTTGTAAATACCTTTTGGCAGTTTATGTAGAGAAAAAATTCATAGCTTGAGGCAAGATCTCAGTAATAGAAATGTCCTCATTTAAATTAATGTTTATATATATATACATATATATATATACATATATATATATACTTTTTTTCTTTCAACCTTTTACATTTTCCTTTCTGTTCCTTTGCAGTTGAAAGAACAAATTTTACAGACTGACCAAAGTTACAACTCTGTGCTAGAGGGAATGAAGATGGAGATCTCCCAGCTCACCCGGGAACTGCACCAGCGGGATATCACCATTGCTTCCACCAAAAGTTCTTCCTCTGATATGGAAAAGCGACTCAAAGAGGAGATCCAAAAGGCAGAAGTAAAAGCAGTAGAGCATAAGGTGAAGATTGAAAAAAAAAATCTTAGAAAAAAATAGATAAAAAAGGAAAAAATGCTTTTATTTGTTATTTGTTTTGTTTTTCCTTTTTGGGTCACACCCAGCATTGCACAGGGGTTACTCCTGGCTCATGCACTCAGAAACTACTCTTGGTGGTGCTCAGGGGACCATATGGGATGCTGGGAATCGAAGCCAGATCTGCCGCATGCAAGGCAAATGCCCTACCTGCTGTGCTATCACTCCAGCCCCGATTTGGTTTGTTTTTTAAGATTTACTTTGTTAATGATATATATATATATATAGATATATATGTATGTATGTGTATATATATATGTATATAAAATTTTTTAAAAAACATTTTTGTTAAAAGACCTTTGCTTTACGAGGTGATTATTGCCTAAATTGGCATTTTCTGTCTGGTACCAGCTTGCTGGGTTTGCTGGTCACTTTTGTCTTTCAGTTCTCTTCTCCCCTTCCCCCACCCAGGAGAAGCGCTCCTTAGGGCAGAACTTGCCCACAGTTCTTTGTTTTGAGGAGTTGAGTCTCCCTGAGTAATGGCTGTTTTCTCCAGTGGGTTTTTTTTTGGGAGCTCTTTGTGGGGTACTATGTTTCTTTCAGCTCTTAACACGTTTTTGTATTGAACAGGAACTTTCAGAGAACACTTCCTTTCCTCCATCTTGGTCCAACCTTGTTAGGGACATTGTTAACCATTTTAGTGAGCACTGTGGGGGAGTAGGTGAGAATAAGTACAGACAAGTAGAGACTCCTATAGAGAGAGTGAGGTGCTTGCGCTGTGGAAGACTCCATGAGACCGGAAGGATGCACTCTGGATTCAAGTAGGACTGTCACGTGGTTCATGATGCTAATTTTTAGTGGAATACAGGATAAGGAGCAAGTTTGGGGAAGATGATGAACGTGTAGGGAAAGCACAATGTCGGGCAATTGGCAGAGGGGACATATTTGGTTTGACAGAAAAGCTTGAAGTCTCCAGTAATCAGTTCCACCAAAGCCTAGAAGTTAGAGATTAAAAGCAGGATGATATTGAGCTGTGGAAGTCTGCATGAGGATGAAACGTATTCTGAGAGACTTCAAGGTTATAATGAGAAAACATTGTATGTGAAGGGCAGAGACTTGAACCAACCGTAGGATGCCATTCATTTGAAGTATAAAGAAGGTATGGAGTATAACTAAAGAAAAGCAGAAAGAAAGAAAGAAAACCAGGTATTTTTAACTAAGGAAGTAGAGCCCAAAGAAGGTAGGAATCTTTTCAAGAAGGAATGTTTGAGCAGAAAAGCTAAGGAGAACGAGGACTAAAAACAACTTATTTTGTGAATGTAGTACATAATACATAGCACATGATATTGGAGGTCAAAGCCAAATTAGAGGAGTCTAACGTTGGAGAGCTGTTAGGGATTTGCCAGGGAGCCAATTCATTTTCTTAGAATAATTGCTTGTGTTATTTATCCACTTAAATGTCCTTTTCTTATATATGAAGAATACAACATTACCCAATGAAAGTTACATGTAGAAAAATTGTGTAACGTGCATTTGATGTTATTTTTGTTCTTTTTTTACTTTTCCCTTCTCAGGAGATTGTGAATCAGCTGGAGTCACTTAAATTAGAAAACCGTCATCTTTCTGAAACGGTGATGAAACTGGAGTTGAGTTTACATCAGGTACGGAAGTACATAAAAAGAAAGTTCAAGTTTTCTACTGTTCAATACTTCAAAGAAAGCTCTTTTTAGATACTGATATTTACAGATGCAGTTAAGATTATACTATGGAATGATCCTTTTACAGAAACTTTCTCAAACAAAAAAAAGTGAAGACAGTGGTGCAGTTGTGCAAAATATTCCTCTTTACTTCAGCGGTTTGAAGGTATTTTTTTTTAAGTAAAATAAAATATTCTAGAATATTTTATGCTCAAAGCATTTTAGTAGGTAATAGACACAGAATAGATGAATAAGATTTTTGCCCATGAGATAGAAATTAATTTGGGAGGAAGGATAAGAAATGTATACCAGCTCCTGTCAAACTTAAGAGAACTTGATTAGTGCTTGATTGTACAGTGAGTTATAAATATGCTCTTTTTAACTAATTTGTTATGAAATTCTTATAATTTGCAAAATGATCCTGTGTTCTGACTCAGCTTTTCTTGATGTAGGTCACATGTCTGGAGATTATAAAAATACTTTTTTCCTGTTTCCAGAGTGTTTGCTTCCAAAGATGCATAGTTAGATAGTGGCCCTTTGTGCCCAAACAGTTCTCATTCATGGTTGATTAAGCAGGCTGTGAGGTGGGGTGGGGGGAGGGTTGGGGAAAGCTCGGGAATACTATGTTTCAGTTAAAAGAAAATACAGAACTTTTAAGATAATCTATTGGAAGGGGAAGATTCTCTATAAGCATCATAAAACCATAAAGAGTTTTATAGCACAAGGAATTTTACAACATAAAAATGTGAAATTTCTGGAAGGCAAAAGACCCCATAAAAGTGACTATTAGGTTGAGGGAAAACAAACGGACTGAAATAATAAAAAGATAATTCAATAGAAAAATGGGTAAAAGAACAAAAATAGGTAACTGATGGAAATAATTCTAAGCTTTGGTAAATAAGGAAAGCTGTCAACTTCACTAAGAATCATAACAAAATGGATAAATGTTCTTTCACTATTTGGATTAAGAATGATATTTTAAAAGTCATTATCTCTGGTATTGGTAAGGATCAGGGAAATTGGCATTCTCATGTATTATTAATAAGAAAGGTAATGGATAAAGCTTTTCTAAAGGACAATTTAGCCAAATGTATCAAACTTGTAAATATATATAGCCTATAACTCCCTGGTTACATGTATTTCTAATTTTGATAATTATTGCTCACTTGTTCTCCAGAAGGAACATGTCAGTTTGCATTCCAAAAGAATCCACTCTATAGGATCAAACGTGTAAAATTGGTCTTTGTAGTGTTACTTGCAATATCCAAAATTTTGATAAAGTGTTAACCTATAGAAGTGTTTCTTTGTGACTTTCTATCTACGAAACACTACACTGTGCTGTCATTTAAAGTGGCGGATGAAAACATGTATTAAATCTTACTTGTTCCCTCCTCAAATCCTTCTGAAACTTGTAATGAAAGGATTAAGAGAAAAAAAATTCTAGAAAAGGAGACAATAGCTAAAGATTTTCTATGGAAAATGGAAGTGGGAGGGTGGCAATATGGGAAGGGATAAGGAGGAAGAGAGAAGGGGAACAGGGAGGGAGGGCTCTTGCCTTTGACATGGCTGACCGGATTCAATCTCAGCACCCACATGGTCTCCTCAGCACTAGCAGGTATGGCACAAAAACATTTTTTTTTTAAATAAGAAGGAAAGTCATTGTCACTGTCCTCCCGTTCATCGATTTGCTTTACATATTCACGTAAAGCCAATTCTAAATTGGTAGAAGCAAGAACTAACCTTAATCCACCACAGAATCTGCAGGGGTCCTGGATATTGCAGTACTGGTTGAAGAGTGTCTTCTGTGGTCATTACTTCTTCCTGTTTTGGAGCTGACACTCCTAGGGATTAGCGTAAGTGAGCCTGTCCCCGAGATGGTGTTTGCTAGCTGCTGCCGCAGAACCTTCCCGTGGCGAGCTGCTGGCCTTTCTTTCTAGGTAGGGGTACGCTGCACACCTCGCTTTTTATATTACTGCCCACACACCATTAGCTGTAACTATGACTAATAAAACATTATGTTTAAGAAAAAAATTAAGGATGCCCAGAAAAGGTAATCATTACTTTTTTAAACTATGCATGTAATGATAGCAAAGTCTGTTGGAAACCCTGTCAGGAGTTCAAACGTCTTTGGTTTTGAAGCTGAACACAGTGTGGACATATTCATTACGAAGAATTATTATGAAGGACTGTGAAGTCACTGAAGTTACTGTCCTCCCGTTGTTCATCGATTTGCTCGAGCGGGCCCAGTAACGTCTCCATTGTGACAATTGTTACTGTGTTTGGCATATCGAATAAGTCATGGGGAGCTTTCCAGGCTTTGCCCTGCGGGCCGAGATACTCTCGGTAGCTTGCTGGGCTCTCCGAGAGGGGCGGAGGAATCGAACCCGGCTTGGCCGGGCTGGCTGCGTGCAAGGCACAGCCCTATCCACTGTGCTGTCACTCCAGCCCAATATATATGTGTGTATATATGTATCTGTCCTGTCCTCCCGTTGTTCATCGATTTGCTCGAGCGGGCCCAGTAACGTCTCCATTTTGAGACTTGTTGTTACTGTGTTTGGCATATTGAACTCATCACAGGGAGCTTGCCAGGCTTTGCTGTGCGGGCGAGATACTCTCAGTAGCTTGCCGGGTTCTCAGAGAGGGACGAAGAAATCGAACCCGTCTTGGCCAGACTGGCTGCATGCAAGGCAAACGCCCTACTGCTGTGCTATCGCTCCAGCCCATGAAGGAAGGACCATATTGCATTTTATTACCTAGAAATTCCTTCTACAAATAAATTCTTGAGCTAATTATAGCTATTTATTTATGTAGTTTTGGGGCCATACCCAGATGTGCTCAGGGCTTACTCCTGAATCACTCCTGGCAGTGCTCAGGGAACCATGAGTGCCAGGGATCAAGGCCGGGTCAGCTGTGTGGAAGGCAGGCACCCTGCTCTCTGTGAAATAAAATGCTCATGTCATTGACCACACAGCTCACGAGTCTACATCCCCCATTGGGACTTGTAGCTTCACTGTTGACTTATTTTGAGATTTTATTTAGCATTGACAACTTGTTGAAAAATTATGTTATTTTAAGTAAATATTATTAGATATTTAGAATATCAGATATTCAGAAAAATCTTTACATAAAAGATGAATCTAATTGCCATAATTAGATTGCCATAATTTTTTTGGAATGCTAGTTTAAATGATTTGTCTTTAGAAAAATAATTATATCTGGACAGTCATTTGTCCAGTCTCCTGTTTTTTTTTTTTCCCAAGGTACCGTATTGCCAAAATACAGGAAACTCCTAGAGTTGAAGAGCAATAGAGTCTATGATCACAGAACTCAGACCAGATGCAAGTAGTAATTTCATAGGACACCTGAATGAAGTATTTATCTAAGAATTCTGCAAGCCAGAATTTCTTCTCAGAATCTTCCTTTCACATTTTTTCCCTTGAAGTAGGCCTACTATTTCCTAAGGAGGAAGCTATGGCTGCTATTTTTTCCTTGTTAACTGTTTCTCTCTTACCACTTTCCTCCATTTTGCTTTCATACTTCATCTAGCTTCTGGAGTTTTTCTTGGAGCATTAAGGCACTTCAAACTTTTCCATCCCCATTTGCCGCAAGAAACAGAACACCCCGCAGATTAGCATGGTGGTGCTCCAGGGCCTTATGTGGTGCCAGGGATCAAACTGGGTTTGGCCACATGCAAGGCAAGTGCCTTAACCCTTGTACTATCATTCGGCCCTCTCTCTGATTCATATGAGAGCCAAAAACAAATATTGGAACAATAAATTTAAGTAGAGCCGCAGATAAACTAGTTAGAACTGAGTGAAAGGTAATTTTCCATCATTAGTATCATTAATCACTAGTACCCACATGTAAATTAAGTGACTGTCATATTCCTTTTTATTAGGCTAAAGAGAATTCACTAACAGACCTTCAGGAGAATTATATTGGGGCATTAAATAAGTTAGTGTCCGAGAATCAACAACTACAGAAAGATTTGATGGACACCAAATCTAAGCTGGAGCTTTCTACTCAGAAGTGCCAAAAGTCCCCTGACCTTGTCTTTCAACTGACACACAGCAAAGCACCTGAGATCAAGAATACAGAGTTCAAGTAAAATTTCTTCACAGTGCATTACTGTAATATCGTTCTCATTTCTTTGAAAATTATTTTCAGTTGACAAAAATCAGTTTTTATCAGAGGATTCTGTGTTCATTCCTGAAGTTCCGTGTGCACAAGGACAGCTGCTACCAGGTTAAAAGTGGAGGAGGTTCTATGGATCAGGCTTTAGTGTCTGGTACTCTGAGTGTCACCAAAAAGGACATCCTTGTTCCCCTGAGCTTACTCCCTCCCTCCCGCCCTTCCTTCCTACCTTTTAAAGTAAAATGAGTTTCAGGGAGATAAAGGGAGATAAGAGAAGTTGATGAAGGTAATGTGCTCAGGAGAGAACACTGGCTTCCCCAGCATGGGAAAAAGCTCTCCTGAGCTTTTAAGACCTTCTCCACCTCCATAATCCCACCTGCTCCATGGGAGGTTGGCTGTGCGTAGAAAGCTTCCTTAGCAGTAAACCCCTTGGCTTCAGCTTTTACTATCTGGCTTACATGGTTTCCTACCAAATTCTCTGCTGACACAGCCCACTCCTGCTTCACCCCCCAACACTATCGGTACCCTTTTTTTTGGTGGGAGTTGGGCCGAGCCATGCCCAGTAGTGCTCAGGCTGTTCTTGACTGTGGTCTGTCCAGCCAGACAGCTACTCTTATGTGCTCTTATATGCACATTACTTCCCTGTCCTGCATGACCCACCCTGGGTCACTTTGGCAGCAGCTTTGTTTTCCTTGACCTATTTTAAGTTGTGAGGGCAGGGGCCTCGCAGTGGAGATTTGGGGCCTGAATGTGGAGTTAAGGGTTATCTGTGTGGGCTGCTCATTTTGTAAATCATAGTCTTATTAACTCTGACTGTTCCATTTCAAATGAATTGCCTACAATACTTCTGTTAAAGGAGAGGCAACTTGCTACAGTTTTTTTAAATTTGTTTTGTTTTTTCAATCTGTATCCAGGCCAATCCCTGGCCAACACAGACATGATGGAGTAAAGGCTGAACACTGTACAGCAGGTCTTCATTCTTCAGGAGGACAAGCAGTGGATAGTATAGACCCTATGTCCAGGGTCCTCAGCCCTCTGAGTCCTTCCACCAGCCATTACAGCTCTACGGTCTCTTTGCCTTCCACTTTTCAGTATAAAACTGAATCTCTGCCTTCAGTCCTAGATATAAATGAAGCCAATTTTTCTGACACTGTATCTGAAAGTATAAGTGACGCAGAAGAGCTACCTTTGGTATGAAAATGTTCTGATCTTATTCATTTACTTAGTTTTATTTTTTAGTTTTAAGGGTGAGGAGGGTGATAGTTTTTGTTTTTCTTACTGGGTTTCTTAAGCTCAGGTATTTCTGTCTTACAGTTTCACTTGTGGAGGAAGAGACATTCAGCCACTGTTAATTTTCAAAATGTATCTAAGTTCCAAAATTTAAGCAGTGGGCATTCCTTCATCTTTGACCCTGTCTGAAATTTTGTTTCCTGCCCTTTCCAGACAGGCCAGTTTTGCATGGGAGAGGTGCATTCAAGAAACAGATCTGGAGCCTAAGATGGTCCTGCACCCTAGTGAAGAGGACAGAGGGACTCCTGGGAGGGAACTGGTGGGGCTGGAGGAAGGGCCGGCTTCTGACTTAGCCAAGCACTGGGTTCTGCCCGATGCTGGACCTAGTGGCTGAGCCTTTCCTTTCACGCTGCTGGACCCTTGCTCCCACGGCTGCTGGCACACCGCCGTTTTGCGCTCTGTGCGAAAGCACTTGATTTGGACCATTTATTTCTCATCACTAGGTATATGATCCCATACAAATAAAAGTTCAGGGTTTTTTTTTTCCCCTGCTTAATGTATCAAGGGCTGGAGCGATAGCACAGCGGGTAGGGCGTTCGCCTTACAAGCGGCCAACATGGCCGACCCGAGTTCGATTCCTCCGCCCCTCTCGGAGAGCCCGGCAAGCTACCGAGAGTATTCGATATGCCAGACACAGTAACAACAAAGTCTCCAATGGAGATGTTACTGGGCCCGCTCGAGCAAATCGACGATCAACGGGAGGGCCTTTACCTTTTACCTAATATATCAAGAAGTTCACAGAAAGATTTGCTTTTAGTTTCCAAAATCACTTGGGCTGGGGAGCTAGATAGCTCATTGCCCTGAGATACCTTTTGCCTGCTGGTGTCCTGGGCTCGGTCCCCCAGCAGTATCCTGAGAGTAGACTCAGCGCAGAGCCCCTGACACTGCTGGGTCTGACCCCCAACATGAAAAACAAAGTAAATTTTGAAATTCAACAACAATCCTGAAAACCAGCTTGCTTCCTAAGGTGGTCAGCAAAACTTCCTTGGTACTGAAACTTGAAGTCGTGGGATGATGTAGAGACACTTCCTCATTCTACTTAGCATTACCAGTGTAGCTGATTATGGAACATTACCCCAGTTTCTCTTCACACGCAACCTGTCTGAATGCAAGGTTCCATCCCAATGGAAAATCAGCAGGACTGTACTACTATACAAGGGAGACATCCATGACATTGGCAGCTATCACCCAATCTGCCTATTGTCTGTCATCTACAAGCTGTTCGCTCGAGTCATCCTGAATAGGATTGGCAGAACACTAGATGAAGGACAACCATGCGTGCAAGCCGGGTTCTGCAAAGGATTCAGTACCATCGACCATATCCACACGATAACCAAGCTCATTGAGGTTTCTCGGGAGTTCAGGATGCCACTCTGTCTAACATTCATTGATTTAAAGAACGCCTTTGATTCTGTTGGTACGGAAGTGGTCATCGAAGCCCTAGCCAATCAGGGTGTTCAAACTCAATACATCAGGATCCTCCGTGAGCTGTATTACGGATTCACTACCAGGATCTCACCATTCTACAAAGAAGTAATCATCCATGTCAAGAGAGGCGTTCGGCAGGGTGATACCATTTCACCAAAACTCTTCAGTGCCACCCTCGAGAACATCATGCGATGACTGGAATGGGATGGAGTGAAGATAGATGGTCAGCAACTACACCACCTCCGCTTTGCTGATGGCATCGTTCTAATAACACCAATCAGCCAAGCGGCACAAATGGCTGACCAACTTCGACCGTGAGTGTGGAAAGGTCGGATTACAACTGAATCTCACAAAGACAATGTTCATGAGAAACAATCTTGTTCCTGATGTTTCATTCACTCAATGGAACAACCATCTCCAAATGCAACAGTTATATATACCTAGGTCGAGAAGTCAACATGACGAATGACCTGTCACCTGAGTTACGCAGGAGGAAGAGAGAGGCTTGGAATGCCTTCAAGAGCATTGAAGAAATAACTAAGAGGACAAAGAACCTCCAGCTCCGAGCACATCTCTTTGATTCCACTGTTCTTCCTGCATTAACATATGCCTCAGAGACCTGGGCCTTATGCAAACAGGATGAGGACGCTATTCGGGTCTCTCAAAGAGGAATCAAAAGAGCTATGCTTGGAGTATCACGCTTCACTCAAATGAGAGATAGAATCCGGAGTTCCGATCTCCGTCAATGCTCAAGAATCAGAGACGCTGTCTCATTTGCCAAGGCATCAAAAATCAGATGGGCTGGACACGTTATAAGGTTTAGAGACAACCGCTGGACTAGAGCCATTACTGACTGGATTCCACGGGATGTCAAAAGATCGCGTGGAGGCCCACCTACGAGATGGTCAGACTTCTTCGTCAAGACCCTGAATGATTGGTTTGAGGCTCTTCATGTTCCTAGAACGAGCAGATGCCACTGGGCTACGCTAGCATGCAACAGGGATGAATGGAGACGTTACTGGCACCCGCTTGAGTAAATCAATGAGTAACGGGGTATCAAGTGATCAAGTGACCCCAGGTTCTGTTAGGGTAATAAAGCTGATCCTCATCAGCCATAGGTTTCATCTGTGTGAATTTGAGTGCTCATGAAGCTGTTTGCAATCCTTCACCAGCACGCTTACTTGGGAATATGTGCAGGGCTGTGGGACATCTAAGTCCCTAGACTTTCTGGGCCAAGGGCAGCCAGGAAGCCCCCTCCCCCCCCGCCCCCATACAGGGAGGGCAGAGGATGGAGTCAGCAGCAGGGAGCAAGCGGGAGGCAAGAAGCGCAGGCTGTGGGCTTTCAGCCCTAATTCCGGTGCCGTTGGTGGGGTCTCAGACAAATCCCTGAGCTGATCTGACTATGTTCTTTCTCTTTTCTTTTAAAAATTGAGGCCACACCCAGAGAACTGCCTCCACCCTCTGCCATTTCTGACCCAGAGAACCCCTGGCCTGTGGTTCAGTGCTTGCAGGTCTAGAGGCCACCAGGGCTACACCAGGGGCTGCCTGCTGTCCAACAGCCTCATGTGTGTTAGCATGTGCTCTGTCACTTGAGCTCTTTCCCCCATCCATTTCCTCCTATCAAATAGAGACAATAGAATTGACACATATGCATTGTTTTCAGAGTGAGAACAAAACGAGGTGTGTGTGCCTGTGTGTGCCCATGTGTGTCTGTGCCCCTGATGCATGGGTGTGGGTTTGTGCATGTCCATATCCCTTAGAACAGGTGTAGGGAGTGTCCAGTCTGCAAAATCTGACACCTTGGAAGTCACATGTTTTGTTCCTGGCTCATGACACGTCTGTTTCTCATGTCATCCCGTCTGATATTATAAATAATAGCCCTTGGTGGAAATAAGGTTCCCCAGCCCTGCCAATGTCTCTCTATCCTCACTAGTTCCTTTATTGGAAAGGAGGGTCAAGTATATATACTATTGCCTTTCTAAAATCTGAATTTTGAAATACCACTGGCCACAAGGGTTTCAGGTAAGGGACTTGGGATTAAAATTTTAAAGGGGAGAAAACATTGAATTTAACTCATAGCTAATTTTATTGTTGCTTGGTTTTTCTATACTTTAAAAACAAAGAAGCATTCAAAGTGAGTTTGAAATAACAGGTATGTATTCAGGAGAAAGGATGTACAAATCCAAATGGAAGTATTCTCCAGGCCTGTAACAACTACTTATATGGCACTTCACTTTTACAACTTTGGTCAGAAATAATTAGGTGTGTTAGATGTTGTTGAACCTACTGATTTAATTTTCCTACTTGTCTATAGGATAAGAGTGCTTTAAAAAAAACACATTTTATATTACTAGTTAGAAAATATTTGATTTTATATGTCAATTTTCATTTCTCTTACAGTGTCCCGTACCTGTATCTCCTCTGGGTTCGGTAGCAGCAAGATTTTTGGAGGAGGAGGAACTGAGGTCTCATCATATTCTAGAGCGCCTGGATGCCCATATTGAAGAACTAAAGAGAGAGAGTGAAAAGACGGTCAGACAGTTCAGAGCCCTTGTGTAGTTGCTTCGGTACTCATCAGTTTGGAAATAAACCCAGAGAATCAACTGTCTTCTGAAGAAACAGCTCTGTAGACATGAGCACAGAAGCATTACCAACGTGAGGCGCTCGAAAGGACTTAGCCGGAACCCCAGCAAGCCAGTACTTCGTGGGCTTAACCATGCTGGTTTGCTAGAAGAACTTCTAGCAGTAATAAACCACTTTGCTGATCTTTTCTCATAATAGTATACTTACTGTCATAGTGATATTTTTTTCTTACTGACTTAAATGTGAATGCTGTAGACTATAAGGATTTGATGATATTTCTTTAAAATAAAGCAACTGCAGGAACTTTGTTTAAGGAAAGTATGTGGTAGAAGTGTGAATTCCAGAGTCAAGCTGATCTTCATTGATGTACTTTGCTGCTGACCGGGCAGGTGGTGTGCAGGCAGGAAGGGGCTAGCAGGCCTCGCTTACTGCAGAACCTTGACCAAGAGCCCTCAGAGGTGGAGGCAGGCGGGGCTGCAGGGATGGGTTTGGCTTAAGTACGTGATGCCTGTGGCGTGTCTAAAAAAACAAACTTTGAAGTCTAGCGGGGCACTTGGGAAGTCCTGGGGAGGTGATCTGCTCTGCTCGGGAAGGCTACCCGGCAAGAGAGGGACAGAAGGCAGGGCCTGGCACCCCGAGGATGCTGCACCCAAGGGTCCCAGATGCTGGAGTGGCGGGCGCGAAGACAGCGCATGCAGAGACAAGAAGTCTCCCTGCTTGGCGCGGCTCCTTCCTGTCCGCACACAGACATCCGGTCCTTTTTATTCTTGAAAGTGAAATCAAACCTCAGTTTCCCAGTCTCTCTCTGTTGCCTCAGGCTACTGCTTTAGGCAAGTTATCTGCAGTGTGATTCTTATTCGCCCCTCTTCATCCTCATCCCCACTAGGGATGTGCTCTCTGTTCTCGATTTCAACACTGACTCACAGTCTCTGAGCAGCATTTGCAGGGCTGGTCTCTCTCTCTCTCTCTCTCTCTCTCTCTCTCTCTCTCTCTCTCTCTCTCTCTCTCTCTCGGAGCCACTGATTAATGTTTCCACCTTCCTTCCTATTCTCTGGCCACTTCATCACATTCTTTTCTGGCTCTTCTCCTAAAGACTTCCCTTTGGCTTTGAAATGAGTTTTTTACTCATCGCACTCTTCCTTCGAGCACCCATCCTGGTCTTGTGCCTTTAAATACCATACCTAACCTCCCCTTCCTCTCAGATGCCTAATTGTATGTGAGGTATTTTAACTGGAGTATCTGAGAAGCATTTTCTGTTGAACATCCAAAAGGATCCTCTTATTCAATGTTGCCTATTATTCTTAAATTTGGCACTAGCCAGGGATTGAATCCAGTGCCTGCAGAACATGTGCTCTACTAAAGAATTCTCTTTTTTTCTTCTTTTAAAATCACAGGCTTGGTTACAGGTCGCAGAAGTTGGGGGAGGGCAGCTTTCCGTCCCAGGTCTCAGGAGGGTAGGAGACAGCCAGCAGCAGGGTAGAAAGCATGTAATTAAGTTGGTTGGGGTCCACTTTGATGGGCTGAGCAGCAAGAGATTATTCCAGAAGGTGCCTCAGGAGGGGCTGGAGAGATCGGAGAGTGTGTGTTTTCCTTGCATGCAGCTGACTCAGGTTTGGCCCCCAGCTCCCACCCATATGATTTTCTGAGCACCATCAGGAGTGATTCGTGAATGCAGAGTCAAGAGTAACCCGGAGCACCAACAGGTGTGGCCCCCAGACCAAGAATAAGTAAGTGAAAGTAAAAGGTGCCTGCAGAACGGTGGGAATCGAAGGTCAGGCCTTTACTGGAGTGTCCAGGCTCTGGGTGTGAGCGGACTGTCAGGCTGCAAGATGCTTTGGAAGCAGGTCCAGCAGCTGGCGTCTCTTCAGCATTCCCTTTCTCTTTCCATGACCTTACTTGGAGCCTTTCTCTTTCCAACCCACAGGCAAGGTTTCAGCAATGGGAAGTGCTTCTGTTTGGATGATAGTTTTCCTGCCTGAATTCTTCCTTTCACATGTCTCCAAAGGTACCTGTTGCTGTTTTAAAACTATGCTTCTCTTGACCAAGCAGTTTAATCATTTTCATCTTTGTCCTCTCTGCTCTCTTGTGCCTCACATCCATGCTGTATTGTTTCCTGTGTGTTGCCTTCCACTGGTTCCATAGTATTTGCTCAGGGGTCGTTCCTGATGGTGTCCAGGCACCAGATGCTGCGACATGTTGGCCGCATGCAATCCCTGTACTGTTTCTCTACATGCCATTCATCATGCTTTGAAATTGATCAAGTTGTGTAGCTGCTGATGCCTAATTCCAGTAAGGAAGGGCAACCAGGAAGTGGATAGTGACATGTCCTGGAATCTCCCTAGGAGTTCTCCTTAATGCCTTTCTTCCCCATACCACACCATTGGGCGGTCTGTTAGTCGTGACTCCAGAATCTGAGATTCAGCCATTTCTTCCATGATCACACTTCTGATCCAGGCAAACCCCGTGTCACTGACATTCTGGCAAAAAGCATTCCTCTTCCTCCCAGTCCCAGTAATTTATTCCCCACAGCACTTCCCGCAATTCCCTTTAGAAAGTTACAGGCAATAATGTCACCCACTATATCTCTGCACCCCTTCAGAGGCAGCTACTTGCAGTTGGGATAAATCTCAGTTGCTTGCCAGTCTACAGGACTCTGGTCTGGGCCTGCCCGGCTTACCACTGCTTTATGTGCCTTAAGCTGTGCTCCTGCCATGCCGGCCTCCTTTCTGCTTCTGTAGGACAGCTGACTCTTCACCTGCAATCTCTTTCTCTCCCCTCGCTCAGGAGTGGCTGATCCTCTTTCCTCGCATCTGCTGTAAAACTCTGAACTGCAAAGCTGCCCTGACTGCACCCCAAACCTTCCCGTTTCTTGAGCTCACTACCCTGCTGTAGTTGCTATACTCTCACCCATCAGATCATTCTCCTTATTTCTCTCTCGTCTCTTTCTACCTCTAGAATCAGATTCCTTGAGGGCAGCCCTTTGCCTGTCTGGTTCACGGTGGGGTTCTCATCACCCAACCCGAGGAGCTCAGGTAGTTTGAACTCATGGGCAGATGTCTGGCCTCCAGACAGACGTTTTCCCGGGTTGTGCCTTTGGCCGTGTTGTGCCTCGGGCCAGCTGCCTCTTCCATACGCTTCTACCTGCCTTCTCTTGGAGACTTGGAATTTCCACTTCCCATTGCACTAAACACATCGTGCTTCTTTAAATGCTCATTCCCGTTACGTTTCCCTAAAAGCAGGGGCTAGTCCCGTCTGCATTCTTAGCCAGTAGGCTGTCCAATACATGAACTGAACAAGTACTGAGTGGATGACAATAACTACTATTTCAGGCCGCTGCTTTATCTACTTGTAAAATTGGGCTTTTATCTCGTAGGATTTTGATGATTCACTGCAAACATTTTCTTGAAAGGACTTTATAGATTGTAAAGAACTGTCCCAACGATGATTGGTATTAGTGTAATATCCCAAGCTTGAGCTTAGAGTGTGTAGAGCCCAACCTGGCCCTGAAGTTTTCATTATTTGTGCTAACTCGGAGAGGGAGTTGCAGACGTTGCAGTCACTGGAAGAACTTAAGCAATCATGAGATACTATGTACTTCCTTAAGCATCTTCTATGTTATTTAAACTCAAAGTAGTAAACTGCGTACATTTTTCAGAACATTTTATTGTAATTTAATCTCTGCTTCATTTTTCCAAAAGATATGCCAAATATTAAAATTGTCTAAACCAAATTTGAGTTAGTTTCTTAATATCACTAATTCACTAATCGGGCTACCCAAATGAGATGAAGACATGAAGCCCACCCCGGGTGTTCTCAGAGAATCGGGTGCCCCTTTTCGACGGTGGTGAGGGTGGAGGGACTGGAGGGGTGAATCCTCTCATTCCTCTTGGCGAGAATTTTCCATGAAGTTTTGTCTGGCTTTTATGCAGATTTTAGCTGATGAGGACAAAGTTGAGATCTCACTGTGGGTTGCTTCTTGTCTTTCCATGGAGCTTTATTCGAACTCAGCAAGGCTAGAAGGCAGTTATGTCATTGTTAAATGACAAAGAGGAAATAAATGACTTGCCTGGGGCCTTCGAGCCCAGGCTGTTTGGCTTTAGGGTTGAAAGCATACAGCTTGAAACTCTTCCAATTCTAGGAATTGATTAGCTACGTGACCTTGGCTCACCTAATGAACTTTCTTACTATAGATTGGCAGCAACACAGTCAGACCTACCACATAGGACTTTAGTCAAGGTTAGTATCTATAAAATACTAAAAACAGTGCCTGGCTAATAAACACCATGAAAGTATCTTGAATAGCACTGTAGCACTGTCCTCCTATTGTTCATCGATTTGCTCGAGCGGGCCCAGTAACGTCTCCATTGTGAGACCTGTTGTTACTGTTTTTGGCATATCGAATATGTCACAGGGAGCTTGCCAGGCTTTGCTGTGCAGGCGGGATACTCTCAATAGCTTGCCAGGTTCTCCGAGATGGGTGGAGGAATCAAACCCAGGTCATCCGCATGCAAGGCAAACACCCTACTTGCTTTGCTATCGCTGCAGCCCATCTTGAATAGAAAGAAAAAAATACTTAACATTCACAAGCCATTCCAGTGTAGAAGTGCTTGCAAGGTTAGAAAAAAATGTCTGGGCCTGTTCTAGAAAGAGACGCTCACTTTTGCTACAAAATTATTCAAAAGGAAAGCAAGGGTAGAATCAAGGCAGAGCAAAGTGAGGGCGGAAAATGTTGGCTCAGAAACATGTCTTCTCTAGCTGCTGTGGCAAAAAATGGCCGCATTGTGTAGAGCCTCCTTCTGCCAGGGCCCTGGAGCTGTGTGCGGAGCTAGGCATCAAACCAGGGCTGGCTGCATACAAGGCAAGCATCCTACCTGCTGTTCCCTCTCTCTCTAGTCCCTGTCTGAGGCTTCTAAGTGCAAAAGCTGAGGAAGACCCAAAAGCTTTCTGCGGCCCACAAGATCAACATGAAATGGCTTCCACAGAGCTTTTGTTTGCGTGGCAGGTGAGCCTTTGATGGGTGCATGAGCACTGGAGAGATCTGATGTTTCCGAACGAGAGTGAAAGCCTTTGTACAGCTCCTCTTTACGGCCATCATCCTGGTTGATGGAAAACGGTTGAAGTGCAGTTTAGAGAAAAGATGAGCCTAGACCTGGCTGCAATGTTCTAGCAGCCCATGTTGGATGGAAGGAATGCAGGAATGAAGACCTACAGGTCGCTAAAAATCTTCCTGAAAGCTATTTCCCCACAGTGCAGTTTGGTCATTCAAACCGTAAGTTTCCTTTTGGAACCTAGAATTTGGGGATTTTATGTTGCC